TTACTACCCACTTGATGGGTTTGCCAGATCTAGTAAACAGATGGGCTTACTACCCACTTGATGGGTTTGCCTTTCAAAGTTTTGTTTTGATAAAACACTATATATACATGCAGCCCTTGGACTTGGGCTGACACACTGGAATCTAACTTCTGACTTATATGTGTTTACAAAGAGAACCAAGAAGGCTGCTGAAATTCCAGGTAATTGAATAAAGTAATGTATTGGAGTTTTCATCTAAATGTGTCTCTCCAAGTGAGCATGCCAGCATGATGAGGCTGTCTCTAAAGTCATGTAACCCTTTGTCTTTGTAGCGAAACAGGAGACATTAGAACCATGGTTTTCCCAGTGATGTATCTCAATGAGGTAAGTCCTGGATGCGAGGGAGCCACAAGGGTGTTGTATCTGTTCAGACCAGCAACGCTTCCATTGTGGTGTCTATTGTTGCAGCTGTGTGCTTTGTAAGATAGGAAGAAGGGTAGAAGATGATTTCTTCAGCACTGTTCGTCCTCAGAAATTCCCTTAATGATTACACGAACCTCCTATGTCTGGGAGTTGATTTTGAGAAATGCAAGACACTTTCCTTCTCAAGAACATCAGTTGGATAAAACTCCCTTCCAGGGAGCTGGTTATGTGAGAAGCGTGGCACTGTGAAGAGAAGCACGTCAGTGTCTGCACAAGCAGGGCAGAGCCAGCTCAGCCAGATGCCCAGCTCAGCCTGGCTTTGTTTCTTTCTTTGACACCCGTCCAGTTTAAGATGACTGTGATAAGTTCTGTTCTAAATTACATACGAGTCACTGTAGTTGTATTTCCCCATTTTCCTCCTCTCCTCTGCCCAGTTTTTTGTTTTTTGTTCTTTTGATAACTGGAATTGAACCCAGGAACTCACACTTGCCAGGCAGGTGCTGTGCCGCTGAGCTATTTCCCTGGCCCTTCTGCCCAGATTTGAAGGGAGAAAAGTGCAAGTTTTTCTCCTTCAATAAATTCTCAACTAGCAGACCTCTGTTATTAGCAACAATGTTTTAAAAAGTTTTTATTTTTTTGTTTTCTAAAAGTACTTGTTATTTGTAGAAAATTTAGTAACAGATTAGCAAGAAAATATTAAAAGTCACTATTCGTGTAATCTAAAGCCAACTTAATTATTTTTTTACTTTAGTGTGTTGTAAAATTTTTTCCAATAACAACTTTTAAAAATATTTAATGTTTTTTGTTTTATAAAACTTGTGCCTTTTATAGAACTCTAGGGAAATAAAAACAAAAGGTAAGTATGGTATTTACAAAGTAAATCACTGATAAAGTAAATTGTATCTCTGAGGAACAAGTACAGCTGTCCTCAGATGCTTGTTGGTTCCTGGAATTCTTTTAGGTTCAAATTACATAGTTGAAATCATACCACAGATGGCAGTTTTATGTATTTTTTCCTCTGCATTTAGCATTATATTGGTGGCCACATTTATATACTTTTGAAGGATTTGTGATTACAATTTTATGATGAGGCTCTATTGTTTCAAAGGAAAAACTCAGGCAGTATTTGCCAACCAGAGGAATATTCAGGCAATGTTTACTGGGATTGCTCCAGGACCACCCATGTTATTGTTTGTGGGGAAGAGCATGAAAATAGAACTTTTGAAAATGCAGAACTTTTCTGCAAGCTTAAATTCATAGTGGAATTCTTGAAGTTCTCTCTTCCCCCAACTTTTGCTTTTGTTTTTTGTTAAAGGCTAGATTGAATCCAGGAAGGAGTGAACCTCATATTTATCCTGCTTCCTCCAATGAGCTTGATTATTCTCTTGTCTAAAAAAATGTAAGACCTGGAAGTGACCATGGAGACTACTGTCCCAACAACTTTTTATGGAGGAGGAAACTGACCCAAGGGTCACAAGCAGGTTACTGAAAGAACTACCCCAGAACCTGATCCCCTGAACTCATTCTGATGCAAATTAAGCTTAAATTAACCCAGAATTGTTGCCCATAATTTTGATGGAATTAAGCTCTTCAGATACCTCACTCATGACACTAGGTGATAGTACTTCTGCCCTGCATTCTGCAAAGTGTTATTCTAGTACAGTTCCTTAAACCCTCTTTGGAATTCTGGTTAACCCACAATTTAACCACTTTCTGGTTATGGTGACTATAGACAGGACCAAGAGAGAAATGATCCTTTCCACTTAGCATCTTTGTGAGTGTTTCATTAATTCATGTAATCAACAAGTATTAATTGAGTGCATATTGAATGCTTGGTGCTATACCCCGTGTGGAGGTGACTGAGGTATTTTGCATCTAAGGACCTCGAAGTCACTGGGAGACAAGCGAGTAATCAGATAGTCTTGATGCACAGTGCCAGGATAGTGAGGAGTGTGTGTGTCTAGAGAGTGAGGTGGAGGCTTAGTGAACGGGCCTTCCATCAGTCTAAGGCAGTCGGAGGAAACTTCCGGAACAAAGTAATGCTGAGCTAGATTTTATTTTGAGACAAATGAGATTATCTCAGCATTTCTGAATACGCTTTTCCTCTTTTCCAATCTGTGTTGAGTATTACCTATCTTCAGTAGAAAAGATGACAGAGCTGGGGATTTAGCTCAGCGGCAAAAGCGCCTGCCTGGCAAGCGCAAGGTCGTGAGTTCGGTTCCCGGTACCAGAGAAAAAACAAACAAACAAACAAACAAACAAAAAAAAACAAACAAACAAAGAAAAGATGACAGATTCCCTATTTAATTTATAAATGGGCTTTTAGTACATCTAGCCTGCTCACAAGAGGCATAACCAAATTGTTTGATGATTTGAAAGACATAAAAAACCGTTACATGCTGGGTACTTAGTCACTGTGTTCTTGCTCCTGTAGAGTGTTCTCATTGATAAAGACACTGCAAGTCGACTTAAGTCTGTGATTAACACTACTCTGATTGTCACCAATATTCCCTACATCATCATGGCGCTGGGCGTGCTCTTCGGTTTGATTTTTACCTGGCTTGCATGCCGAGGACAGGGATCTATGGATGAGGTGAGTACGGGCAGGAGGAACATCTCTCTTCCTACATGCCTTTACCAGAGGGATTCCTCAGCTACTTCTTTAAAGGACTGTCTGGTGGTTCTTTAGGATGGATTCTGGGATTTTATGGGGACACAGTGACTTCATGGTTCTATCACTGCTGTATCAAATGGTAAGCAAGAACTGTGTGTGTCAAGGAAGGCAGGGCGATAGAATGGTGCCTGTCAGCACTTCAGGTTTTCTTGGTGGGTATGGAATCCCTGGATGTATCCTGTGGGAGTTACCTTTTAATATCTTTAAGAACAATAACCTGAAAGAAGAGGAAGAAGTTTGTAACAACAAACTACCTGGGGCTTTGCTGTCAAACCACCTGGGTTCAAATGAGTTCTGACACTGCACAGCTATGTGACCCTATAAGCTGTACCTTAGTTTCTCTATAAAATGGAGTAATAAGGGCTCCCTTGTGAGTTTCTGGTGAGGATTAGGTGGTATAGAAAACATAAAAGGTCTGGCCTAGTGTTAATGTACAGTATGAGCTCAATAAATGTAGTTACTAAGTATGATAAAATAGCTCCAATATTACAGAGCAAGGCACCCAGAAACCTGTTCCGAAGGAATCAGAAGATCTTGTGCTTGAGGCAGCATTGCAGAACAGGAGACGGTAGCATGGGGGCAGTGACATTCCTGAAGGAATGAACAGTTAGGCTGGTCTCTTAGTGTGGCCAGGACTCTGAAGATCTTTAAATGCCTTTTCCCTAGAAACCCTCCCAACATGCTCAGCAGCTCCCCTCCTTACAGCAAACATTTTTTTTTTTAACTTCCTGCCCCTCCAAACTGAGTGTCTGAGCAAATGTGAAGGAGGAAATGAACTAGGTTGAAACGATAGGAATAGCATCAGCTTGGTGTATCCTACCTTCTTCCATGATGCCTTCTAACCTGTCTAGTCTCTAACCTGACTTAGCCGTGAAGCAAACTGTTTTACCATTTCTACCTGTGGCTCTTCCAGTCTCAATTTGTGCAGCCACTGAGGTTTTCATAAGTACCAGTGAAGCTGGTGTGGGTGCACACATCTGTAAATCTCTCTGGAAGGCTGAGGCAGAAGGAATGTAACTTTGAGCTCACCAGGGGCAACTTGGTGACTTAATGAGACTTTGTCTCAAAAGAAAAAAGAAAAAAAGGGCTGGGGATGTAGCTCAGTGCAGAAGCCCTAGGTTCAATACCCTGTACTGCAAAACATACAAAAAACTAAGTACAAATGAAACCTCCTGGAAATGTTAATTACCACTCCTACAGTTAGCCATCTTCAGCTATCAGCAAACATTATTGATACCTGTGACCTCTGAGGTACTCTTCTTAGTAGGTTTCAAATCCAGAAGGAGGCAAATTTAATCGAGTATAACAAATTTAAAGTTTGGACCAACATAGAGGAGGGCTCTGCTTGGCACTGGGTGGGAATGCCCAGAGAAGGCCTCCTTGAGGTTAGGTCTGGATCTTTTTTTTTCTTTTGGTTTTTCTCCGGTACTGGGAATCAAACTCACGACCTTGTGCTTGCCAGACCTTGTGCTTGCCAGGCGCTGTACTGCTGAGCTAAATCCCCAGCCCGGTAGGTCTGGATCTTAAAGAAAGAGTAAGCAGCAGCAGGCTGAGAGGAGAGGGGAGCGGGTGAACCTCCTTCCTTCCGGCTCCCCTCTCTGCCTTCCTCCACACCCACTCCCCTTTTCACAGCTGGGGAGTAGTTTCTGACAAGACCTAACTTCCCTGCCCCTCTCTTCTGTGTTTCAGGGAACAGCAGATGAAAGAGAACCCCTCATAAGAACTTAACCATCGCCCTCACTCAGCGAAGCAGTGTGTGAGCTGTCCCAACCTGCACCGTGGCGGGGGCCCACATCCTCACAGGCTCTGCAGGTGTTAAGAGGGGGGAAGAAGACAGAGCCGGCAGGTGATGAGAGGAGTGTTCTGGCCAGACAGTAAAGGCAGGCGGACGTGGCGGGCCACTGTGCTTCATAAAATTGTGTGGCTTCTGAGATTGGTTTTTCATGTGTCTAGCACGTATTTAATAAACTCTTGTATAGTAATTTTTGGGGGGCTGGGGTCTGGTGGCTATGGAAGTCTGTAACCTTGCTATCCATGTGTCCCTGCATCACTTGTTAATGCTTGTTGTCTAACCTTAGTCAGTATGCTTCATTCACCACATTTTGCGCTCCAAGTACATATGTTCTATTCCACTTTATGTTCTATTCCTCATTCCTCTCCCTAAACAGAAGGTAACAGTTTGGAACCCAGGGTAAAACGGTAAACTTATCTGATACAGGATTCAAATGCATCCAGTTTCTTCTTTTAAAATATTACATACTGCATTTCATGCTAATCTTCAATTCATAATTCCTCCAGGAAAATAACTTGGTCTTCTGACTTTTATACTGGGAAGGAATCAAGCAGGGAAGGGACTGAGATGATATCCATGAGTAGACATAAGCACTGCAGGGTTTTTAAGTTGTATTTTTGTGAACTAAGAGAATGTGTAAATACTGTTGGGGAGGGTAAGTACAGACATTTCATAAAGAGTAGAACTAAATACTAGTTATAACATTTGTAGGTAATTATTATTTTTTAGTTAAAATTATTTTGGTATGTCAGATTTTCTGGGAGAATGTAATCAGTGATATTCCCCCAGTCACCCCTGCCAAATATGATTTGTATTAATACAGTACGATTGAGTGGGTATTTGTAAAATTAATGACTATTGGAAATCCATTCATTCATAACCCAAGTTACACACATATTTCAGGAAGTCTAGAGCAGACAGACGTTTCTTCTGAAGCAATCTTCTTGGTAATTTTGAAACTGTCTTATGATCTTTCCTGATACAATTCTTTCCAGCGTTTTGTGGTTCACTGTCACTGAGAAAAATGTGTCCTACACTTCCTGTGACAGTCACTTTCCTGACAGAATGGTGTTTACAGTACTGCAAAGAAAGTACTTCAAGCACTGTAACCAAAGGCAAAAGAATAGGAAACCACGGTGATGTCACAGAGTTCAGAATTCAGCAATGTTAAGGGCATAGCCTTTGATTCTCGAAGTTCCACACTGATTTTAACTGAAAAGTGTATAGTTACCTGGCAAAAAAGAGCTTACAAAATTTCCCAACTCAAACAGCCCAAGAGATTTAAAAAAACAACTGGTTTTCAGTGAAGAAAAAAAAAAAACCACAACCAATTATGGATGTCTTTACATAGCTCCTCATCCTTGTACAGAGGTAATAAATCACTTTAATTTACATGCCCAGTTTTCCTATACCAAAGCAAGGTGTTATGTTGCCCTTTTTGAAGGGCAATGCATTAAACTCTCAACTTTTCTATAAATCAAGATGAAAATGTTTTAGATATACCAATTTTTTAGATATGCTAACTTTTTAGATATGCTAACTTTTTAGATATGCTAAAATGTCTAAATTAAGTTTTTAATTAAAAGTTAATTAAAAATTTTAAATTAAATAGATTTTAATTATTGACCTTCAGTAATTCCAAATACCTAGGCTAGGGTTTATCTGCAATCTGCATTTAACTTGATAATTGGTATATCTTATTTCTTATGCATTTACTGGTCCACATCAAGATAATGGAAAAGCCAGGCAGAGATTGTGCATTGGCTCAGTCCTATTTTCAGATGTAATCATCTGTGAGGAGGAGATTTTTAAATACTCTTACGTCAGTGATGACAAATCTTTCAGAGCTTTCAATGATACAAACAGCCAGCTGCAGCACGTGTGCCACAGGTTCGCCACCCCTGCTTTAAGTGACACCAGTTAATCATGAACACATTTAGACTGAGTCCCATAAAGGCAAGAATACCACATCTGTTATTTTCCTTCTGGAAAGTCTGTGGCAAGCCTATACACTGCAGTGAGAATTCCAAATTGGTTAAGAAGAATAAATTCACTTGTTTGGTTTCAGGTTCAGGTTCAGAATAGCCAGCTGTTCCAACAACAAGCTATGATTGTCAAGATTGTCAGCAATCACAGAATGGCAGCCAGAGGAAACTGGGACTCGAGCACAGGACAGGACATAGGCTTTGCCACTTTTAGCTCCAGGCTTTTTTGTTCTAGGAAGATCACTAATGGTCAAAGTAGGACAAGCACTACATGACTGACCCCTATTGGGGTTTTTACTTAAGGGAGGCCAGTTTTTAATTTAAATTGCTTAAGAGATGAGTTCTGCAAAAGGTGATCCTCATCCTTGGCCCTCTAGGCACGATTACTGGAGTGAACTGCTTGTGCCTGTGAAAGAGAACACTGACCAGAGTGCTCTTCATGCTGCTTGTACAGTTGATTCCTTTCGTGTGACTCTTCTACCCTTAATGCAATGAAATGTTTCACTAATAAAGAAAACTTTATATAAAAGTACACCGAGAGTGGTGTCCATTTGTCTATAGAGTCTCATTTGAAAAATGCTCAACAGACACAGCCTTGAGTAACACAGCCCGGGTCACCTCTGATTTCCGCTCAGGTGCGAATGAGGGCGAGTCCTACTCAGGAGGTCCCAGACCTGGCCTTTTCCACTGGGCTTTCTTCAGAGTCCTGGAAGCCCCTCAGGAGTATAGGAGAGTCAGTGACACCAGGGTACTGCTAACCCACAGGGGCAGCCATCAGCTCAGCAGCGGTCCAGTCCCCACAGGAACAGTTCTCCGACTTATTCTATATATATATATTTTTTTCCTCTTTGGGTTTTTCCGGGACCGGGAATCAAACTCAGGACCTTGCCGCTGAGCTAAATCCCCAGCCCACGCTCCGCTTATTCTAAAGGCTCTAAGTCCACAGCCACTCAGGGAACTGCTCTGCTAGGCGTTCTGTGTTCCTTGTCGTTTGCCCCACCCCTCGCTGCTGCTTCATCCCAATCCTGCACTAACATCTTTAGCCTTCAGAGCAGGTCTGCCTCTGGGGACTGACACATAACTAAGACACAGAGGGCTCACAAGGACAGAAAGCTGCTGAACAGGTTGTGAGGCTTCTGACTCTGGGGACATCTGTATTAAAGTTATTAATCCAAAAGTTCAGATTACTTTTAAAACCTTCCCTCTCCTGCCATTGTACCTTACTCCTGAAATCACATGAATCCAGTTGCAAAATTCTTAGCTCAAATTACAAATATCCTTATGTATCAAGGACACTTGTTTCCTACCATATGTCCTTCCTAGAAACCCTAAATCTAATTGCAGCTAGCTTGTGTCACTAGGGATGCACCTTATATACCTGCTTCTTCTTACTCAAAAAGTACAGTCACATGGCACTGAAAATATATAGACTGAGGTTTTAGTACTTATTGTATATCCATGAACAGTAATTGAGCAAGTATATATGGTGAATAGTATAGAATACAAAGTTCAAAAACGTTTACACACTTAGAACAAGATAAAGTACACATTTCTAGTAATAACTATATTAATTTAAAATTAATTTTATTGAGATCATTTATATACCCTAAAATATATCCATTTAAAATGAGCTTTAGGCTGGGTGTGGTGGTGCACACCGGTAATCCCAGCACTCGAGAGGCTGTGGCAGGAGGATTGCAGCAAGTTTGATGCCAGCCAGGGCTACATAGTGAGTTCAAGGTCAGTCTGAGCTACATAATGAGACCCTATCTCAAAAAAACCCAAAAAATAAAAATACTAAAAATAAAATGAGCTTTAGTAAATTCACTGAGTTGTGCTGTTTTACAATATTTTTATCACCTCAATAAAATCTTCCATGCCAGTTTACAGCCATTCCTGTTTTGCACCCTTGACCCCTGGCAATGGCTAATCCACTTGCTGTTTGAATAGATTTGCCTTTTCCAGACACCTCATATAAATACAGTTGCAGTATTTGGTACCAAGGCCTGACTTTTCCAGAGTGTACATAAAAATATGTTCAACTAATATTATCAAGAGCCTACTTTATTCCAGATACTACAAATACAAACTAGGCTACTGGTGACCAGAGAGAGACACATAGACCTTACAATGCAATGGGGAAAACAGAAACCAAATAATCACACAGGTAAATGTAAATTTTCAACTCAGTTGATACTCAACTCATATACTCGTTGAGAACATGACTAAGAGTTGGAGTTAGATAAAAGCAAAGCATTTCAGCCAGAGGGCACAGTTGTGCCCAGGAGCAGGAGGGAATGCTTACAATGCAGAAAGGACTGACATGTTTGGTGGGAGTCCAGAGAAGGAAGAGCGAATGAAGATGCGGGTGGGGAGATAGAAGGGCCTTGTCATGATGGGTCTCATTAAGTCACATTAAAGATTTTGGTATTCTGGCTTATTTTAAGATCAGTGGGAAGCTACTGAAGGGTTTTAATTAGGTTTGGGGGATAAAGTGGGGGAGACAGCAGGTTTGTTTACAAAGCCCCACTCAGGCCACAGGGTACAGAATGGATTGGTGGTCAACAAGGATGAGGGAAGCTCTGTGCTAAGTGGCTCTCCTTCTGCATCCCCAGCAGCACTGAGATGGTCTTCTCTGGGCTGCAGCTGTCACACACCACCCTTCCAGGTGAATTCCTAGAAGCCACATAGCAGAGGCTAGGGAACGGGCTTTATGGGAGAGATTTAAACTATATAGGGTCAAGCTGCTAGGAAAAAAAGGAGGTACAGACCTTCCATCCTCCTGGCATCCCATGGACAGGTAAGCGGGGGACAGAGCGTCTTTGTCTCAGTAGGGTAACCTCTGCCCCTACTACTCCCCCTTAATACAGGCCACACATGAGTGAAGATCCAGTCTTGTCCAAGGGGGCATATGTACACTGCTGAGCAGCAAGCGTTTGGCTTTGGCGTGCCAAAAGTTTGCAGTTGTTTGGGAATGCCAGACGCCCTAGAATGGCACAGTCTGCGCTGCTGGGGAGAAGGTACTGGTCCCTTGAGAACCTGAGTTTGGGTGCAGCCTTTCCCAAAGAAGGGGGAAACTGCAGCCACAGCTAACTCATTCTCCAGGCAATCCAGAATGAACTACCCAGGTCATACTTGGAAGTCCTGCTCACTGCAAGGCAAAGGCTACTGCAAGAGATTAGGCCAGATTGATAAAACTTTTTTTTTTTTCTTTTGGTACCAGGAATCAAACTTAGGACCTTGAGCTTCCCAGGTAGGCGCTGCACCACTGAGCTGTATCCCCAGCTCTAAGGTTGATAAACTTTTGCTGTAAGAAAATAGTTTTGGCTTTGGAACAGGACAGATGCCCTCACTGAAGGGAGGACATAGATCCTCAAGCCTTAATCACTGAGTCTCAGTAAAGATGGAGACATCTCAATTTTTCCTCTGTCTTGCCATTTTAGTTAGGGTTTTCTACAAGAACAGAATAGAAAACACATAATTATGCAAGGGGATATATTAGGTGGGCTCCCAGGATTAGAGGAAGGAAAGTCCATAATGGCCCTCTGCACACTGGAGGACCCAATAAGCACTCAGCCCAGGAGGACGGAGGCTGCAGAACATGAGGGGTCAAGGATGCAGCACCAGCCTCGGTGCAGGGTCACCAGAACAAGTTTGCACTGGAAGGCTGAAGAAACCGGAAACCAATGTCCAAAGGTGAGAAAGGCAAAGGACACACCCACTCAAGATAACCAAGACTCCTTGAAAATGGGCAAACTTCCTTCTCTCCCTCTCTGTTCCATCCAGGATACAAGCCTATTGGTTGCTGCCACCCACAGCCTGGGTGGGTCTTCACCCCTCAGTTTGCGGGCCTATATACCAATCATCTCCACAAACACACCCAGAACTGAGTTAAAATAATCTGCCAGGCATTTCTTACTCCAGGCAAAGTGACCCAGCATGATTAAAGGTCACCCCTGTGCTCACAGTGTATAAAATGTGCCCCTTATTCCTTACTTTTATTGCAAGGGCCAGACGAACTGGAACAGCAGCGGGGAATGCCAGGATTTTCTGGCACTTGCTTCTACAGGGAGAAAATCCCTTAAACCTAAGGCCATACTTAGATTCACAGGCAACATACCAGTGCCTGGCCCACCCCAGCAAACCCATAAAAGCTCATCCAGTCCTTTTATTAATGGGATGTTCTGGTCATCAGAGTTGTGCCTCCTTTAGCTCCTAACAGGAAGCTCCACTTCCCTGTTTTTCTCTAAATCTGCCTGTTTCTCACTGTGTCCTAAAATGCTTTTCCTGGAACAAGTCAACAAACCTATTAGGTTGGCGAGCAAGTTGTGGTCGTGGCGTTCTATTCGGGGGACTTCCTCAGACCCCACTCAGTGACACGCCAGCTTTACGATTTTCTGTACAAACTGAACACAAGGCCCTTTAGCTGATTTGTAATCGCTTTGCAAGCACGTTCTCTGTCATAACCAGACAGTTCTGCTGTCTGCAGCTTGAAAGCAGCTGTAAACACAGATGGTGTGCCTGCGCTCCAGTAATGTTGTGGTTTACAACAACAGGTTGTGGGTCAGGCCACTGTATCTGACTCCTTGGAGGGCTCTCTGCTCTCCTCTGAAAACTGGTGTCCAGCTGGGTATGGTGGCACACACCTCTAATCCCAGGCTGAGGCAGGAGGATCTCAAATCCAAGCCCAGCTTCTGCAACATAGTAACTTAGTGAGACCCTGTCTTAAAGCAAAAAATAAAAAAAGATAGGATGTAGCGCAGCGGAAAGGCCGTGCGCCTCCCGAGGCGCTCTCCTTTCCCCAGTGGTGTGTGGGGTACTAGTGCTCAAATCCCCGGGTGTGTATCTGTAATCCCAGATACCCAGGGGCCAAGGTAGGCACACTGCAAGTTAGAGGCCAGCCAGGGGGAATTTAGCAAGGTCTGTCCGCAAACAACAAGGAGTAGAGATGCAGCTCAGTGGCTGTACTTGGCTAGCAGCAGCGAGGCCCTGCCTTCCGGCCTCAGCACCACCGAACAACAGCGCCCACTGCAACGTCCTCTCCCTTGGCGCTTCTCGCCAGCAAGCTCTGGATTCGTACTTCAGAGTACAGCCCGCACTCCAGACACCGCCGCACGTCGCTGGTCAGCTTGTCCCCAGGTCCAGAAGGGAAGAAGGAGCTCATCTGTCTGAAAGTCGCATTACCATCTCACTCAGTGTTCCAGCCAGAAGCCAGGGACTCTGCCGGACCGCCCTTCCCTCGCCCACCAGCCACTCACCTTCTCCTTCAGGCGAGAGCCTCCCAGCACCGCACTTCCTCCGCGAAGCCACACCCCCGCCGGAAACGATCGCGTCCGGTGTTCGCGCCCGACCCTCCACCCAGCACACCCTAGGTCCGTGTTCGCCTTTTGAGCGGAACTCCGCGGCTGGGCGGGCCGGTTCCCTGCCGGACGGAAAAGAAGAACGCACTGAGTGTCGCGTCGCGACGGTCCCAGGCTTCGGTCCCCAGCTCCCGCGACATGGCCTTCAATTTTGGGACTCCCTCGGGTACCTCGGGCACCGCTGCAGCCACCGCAGCACCCGCGGGTGAGTTCTGTACCCAGTTCTTGCCCCAGAAGGGTTAGATGACTTGTGTCTGTCCCTCAGTCTTAGACTGCGGCGTGGGCATGGGGGGGGAGGTCTCCCGACCGCGCAGAAGACTTTAGGGGCACGGAGAAGGCGGGCGGCGGCCGAGCGGGTTCTGAGGGGCGGCGGGGGTATTCGAGATCCAGCTGGGGGTTCGTTGGTCCCAGAGACGCCCCATTGCCGCGCGGCAGATTGCCCTCTGCTGGGAGGTCGACTCGGAGAGGGTGGAGGCGCTCCCCCTTCCCCGTGCTGAGACTCTCCCGCCCCAGCCTCCGGAGCTGGCGGGAGCTCGCGCGGGTGCGGCGAGCACAGGCCTGGGGACCCGGGGCTGCCCTGCGGCGGGTCGGGGCCAGCCCCGAGGGCCCCTGGTGGTGGGGTTCACCCTCCCGGTCCTTCCTTCTGTCCCCGCCTCCTCTGCTTTCTTGTTTGGAACGAAGTCAAGTTTATTTTCTCCTGTGAAACCTTTGGTTGATTCTTCTAATCCTTATCTTGCTTTTTCTCTTCTTTCTTCTTCCCCCTCCCCCCTTTAAAACTTTTGTTTCTCCGCCTACACGCCTATCAGGATTTGGTGGGCTTGAGACTGCCAACTCCACCGCCAGTGGGTTTAATTTTGGGGGTTTCGGATTAACTGCTAACCCTGCAGTGAACTTTAATATTGGGAATTTCGGTGTTTCTACTACCTCGGCGACTCCGTTCAATTTTGGTAACAGTCTGGCAAGTGCAGGTAGATACTGTGGGGCGTACGTGTAACGAGTGTTGGGAGCTGGAGTCCAAGAATATCTCGTGATCCCTGGAGTTTGGGAAAGAACAATGACTTGTCTAGAGAGGGAAGGAAATTTATTTCCTAATGTCAAAAAGCATTTTTTAAAATTGTCTTAAGAGATAAAAGTTTTGGAAGTTCCTGCAAGTTATAGTGTTTCCTTATTAAATTTGCCTTTAACTGAATAGATATCTTCCAAATGATAAGTTTAAGCGAATTCTTATTTTGTAAATAATGTATATTTCAAATTATTAGATATATCTTCCAAAGTGTAAGCTTACTAGTCAGGCCCCTTTTCCTGGGATTCTTGGACTCCTGCAGTCACTTCATTTTTTTCCTGCATTTTTCATCAGGATATCATTGTCTTTGTTGTTTCTAAGAGAAACAAGTCTTATACGAACAGCATTAATCTGCCTTATTTTTTAAGCTGTATGATAATAATGTATTTCTGTAGTGAATTCACCAGATTGGGACCCATTCCGTAAAACATAATTATAGAATCTCTAACTCTTTACTGTATTTCTCTTTACTGGATTCTTTACTGGGAAATTCTCAAAGAACAATTAATTTCTCAGATAACATTGCTATAAAAGGTAGTGTAGGTAGCTTTGCATTGAAAAAGAGTTGTGAGGATTAAATAATCTATGGATTGTTTAAAGTTTATTAAAAATTTTGCAAAATGCAAGCTATAATTAATATTTTTCCAAATTTAAAGTAGGTTTACATATACTGTACAGTGACCTCATGGAATAATCTTGTTCATCAGCTGCTCGTATATGAATTTATCATTCATATTCTTTTACATTATGCTACTTATGCCCATGCCAATTATATGCATATGGTAAACATTTACTTCCTGAAACTCATTTGGAAAGTCAGGCTTTTTGTTCCTTCGCTTTCCAGTGTGAATATTACATTAGCATGAGAGTTGAAAAATACTTGAAATTTCCAAAGATAAAACAACCCTTTACTATTAAGATACATTTAAAGTGTTCATATCATTATCCTTTGGAATGTTTACTTTTCCATATTTGCTTAAAATTGGCACTGGGTAAAACCTTACTTGGAAATTTGTGCTTCTGAGTAAAGCTATCCAGCTCATAATTCAACAGTAATAAATAAACCTGTTGATATTTGCTTGATTTCATGTTCATTTGGAGGGATCACTGTTAAATTTTGAGTTGTAATAATCCAAAGATGTTTTTAATTACTTTTATACGTTACTTAGATTTCAACAGGGCTGATAGAAATGCTTATTTTGCATCCATGCAAACCCACTATTATTAATAAAGCATTTGTGATATTGTGGTGGGTGATAAAGATACTGACTAGTGTTTTTATTGTGTAGCCAGTTTAGATTGTATCATTGTTATTCTGTGGTAATGGGACCAAAAATAGTACTTAATACTTTCAGTGGCTTTTATCAGGATGTTTTGTTTGCAGTACTACAATAAACCCTGTAAGTTAACAGACTGTGCTTGGGTCTTCATATACAATATGCAGTCTACTCTGAGTAATTTTCCAAATCAGACCAATCAAGTGATTGTGTTTTTGTTTTACATCTTTTATGTTACAATGATGAATTTGTGTTGTCACTAGAAATATGAGATTACAGTTAGAACTCAGAAAACCCTAAGTATAATTTGGCATTAATAGTTGAAATATTTGCCTTGAAAGTCTTTTTGATTCCACATTGATAATCAGCCAAAGATGTTAAAAAAAAAAGATTTTAGATCGGCTACCATTCCATTCCATTCATATGTTATTAGATGTAGTGAAGATTAACTTTGTTTCCAGATTTTATAAAAAATGAAATTTGTCAGTCCCCACACTGTGGTACTGAGGCCTGCAGTAACCCTGCTCACCTTCCCTACCACTACTTCTGTTGTTTTCCTCTTTATATCATCCTTCAGAAAGCACATTCTGATTGAGTAGACGTACATATGTATTGGTATGTTTCTTTGGAAAGGTTACTTATCTTAACATAGATAGACTTAATTAGAAATATAAGCTAATGTAGATACGAATTAATTTACCAAAGTCAAGATTACAAAGTAGCAACAGTCTGCTGACATATGCTTGGCACACTATTTTAAAACATTTGAATTAGTTGCAAAAGATAAGTTAAATTAGTGTTTAAAAACCTATAAAATTTGTGCTAAGAGTGTTGCTCAATGGGTAGAATACTTGGCCTGCTGAGCATAAGTGAGACCATAGGTTCAGTCACAGCACTACAAAACAAAACAAAAAATCCCACAAACAACAACAAAAAGCCCCTATAAATTTTACATAGAAAATCCAGATTTCTTATTTCTTGTAGAGGGAAATGGAAATAAACTGTATAAACTACCATTTTTCTGTAACAGTAATTTGCTAGAATTTAGTAATTGCTGCCATTTTACAAAACTTGACTTCAAACAGTTCTACTTGTCAGTAAATACCTACTTGACTCATAGCTTTTATTAGTCTAAATCTGGTAGGCATTTGAACTTGGAATCTGTAAACTAAATGTACATACCTTGTTATTTCAGAATTATGTAAATAGGTGTAATATATTTTGGTAAATATATTAAGTTGAAAGGTGTATTACATTGCAGTATTTCTTTTTAAAATACTTAGTTGTTTATTTCTTGCAGTATACTGATCTCTTGGTTAGTATAGTTTTTCAGAAATTTACATTGAAAGTAGAAAAAGGTCAGATAATTATATTTTGACTTTATATGTAGCAATTACTTAGAAAAGGACTTGAAAAATAAATTGCTTTCATGTGCACAAAATAATCTTCCTTTCTGTTTTTCCTCTTTTTAACTAGGTGGGTTTGGAGGATTTGGGACAACATCTACAACTGCAGGTTCTGCATTCAGCTTTTCTGCCCCAGCTAACACAGGCACTACTGGTAAGAGGCTGTCTTGGGTCATTTGTACAAGTAAATCTGGTAAAGGTCAAGTTTTTTTAACTGACGTAACTCCTTCCACCTTTCCATTCAAAGGACTCTTCGGTGGTACTCAGAACAAGGGTTTTGGATTCGGTACCGGTTTTGGCACCACAGCGGGAACTGGTACTGGTTTAGGTACTGGTTTGGGAACTGGACTGGGATTTGGAGGATTTAATACACAGCAGCAGCAACAGCAGCAGCAGCAACAGTCTAGTAAGTATGAGGCTTTTGTCTTCAAATATAAACCCATAGAACAGTGATAGCTAACATTACTGAGTGCACTGTTACCTTATATTTTAAGGATTATAAGTATATTTGAAAGGATTCCAAAAGCTATCTTTTATGTTTGTATATGACAGCAGCTGTTGGCATGATTAGGATTATATGGTCCTTACGTTTAGAATCATTCCATTAAAATATTTTTGTTGTTGTTAAAAGTAACACAGTACAGCTCACTGAATTATATATAAGGTGAGCACCCTTGGGAACACTTCAGGAGAATGGACCCTGGTGAGCCCCTTGCATTCAGTTCCCCAACAGGAATTGGCAGTCTTCTTTTTTTTTTTTTTTTCCCGGTACCAGGAGTTGAAGCCAGGGCCTTGTGGTTGCCAGGCAGGCACTGTGCTGCTGTACATCCCTGGCCCCTATGCAGCCTTGACTTTTATGATCGTTTCCGTATTTTTCTTAATAATTCTGATCCTCAAGGGCCAGGGATATAGCTCAGTGGCACAGTGCCTGCCTGGTAAGCACAAGGACCTGTGTTTGGTTTGTAGTACACCCCCCAAAATAATAATAATTTTGTCACTCATGTAAATAGTCTTGTAGGTCCCCCTTTTATCTCTTTAATTTTTCAATTTGTTGAAAAAATATCACTTAAGAGTGTTTCCACTCAGCACTTTACTGATTGCATTCTTGTGGTATATTTTAACATATTCTTTTATGTTTTGTATTTCTTAAGAGTTGAAGGAGTTTTAGGGGTTTATTTATATTGATATATTTCAGTTTCTTGTTTTGAAGACTACTTTATTGGTAGTGTATTCTTGTTTGTTTGTTTTTTGTCTTTTTGAGATAGGGTCTCACTATGCAGTTAAGGCTGGCCTTGAACTCACTTTGTAACCCAGGCTGGCCTCAACTTACAGCAGTCTTCCTGCCTCAGCCTCCTGAGTGGTGGGATTACAGACATGAGCCACTTGGTAGTATATTCTTTATCAAGAGGTATATAATGTCCATTAGTGATCATTACCTAGATTCATTAAGGGTTAAAAAAAATGGTGCTATTTCACTTTGATTCCTCTTTATTTGTTGGACTGTATCTATGATGAAAAAGTCCTACTCAGTTCACAAACTTGTTCCACGATTTTGGAAAAGATGGCCACATTTGTCACCCAATGTGGAGTTTGCAAACAGAAACAAAATTGTGTCAAATGCTTCTGTTTGTGAACCAGATTGTTTGCAAACAAAAGCATTCATGAACCAATGTACTACTGTATTTGGTTGATTCTTTCCTACTTTTTAGAATAAAGAATTGGTTTCCTTGCATTGTGAAATACAAAGAATTAATTAGTTTAGTTAGTTAACTAGTGGCGCTAGGGATTAAACCCAGGACCTTCACACTGAGCTATATCCCAACCCTTAATTTTAAGGTAGGGTCTCGCTGAGTCATTAAGTTTGCCAGACTAGGCTGAAACTTGGGATTTCCTGCCTTGGTTGTCTAGAGTACAGGGATTACAGGTGTGTGCCACTACACCTAGCTGCAACTTTTTTTTAATGTCAAAGTCAGGCATTTACATTGTTAATTTCTTAATCCATTGCAGACATTCTTATGTTTAAATGGTTCCATCTTTGGCCAGTGCAAACCTTTTACATTAGCTCCCAAAGCTTTTTGATGCAGGCCTGGTGTTACTCTTTGATGGCTTACCTACTTGCTGGTCTGGCAGTGGGTGCCAGGGTTATCCTTAATGGATTAATTTACTTCAGGATAGGAACATAAAAATTCAACTTCCTTGACTTTTTTTTTTTTTGGTACTGAGAATTGAACTCAAGGACATCATGCTTGCCAGGCAGGCACTGTGCCGCTGAGCTACATCCCCAGCCCTGACTTTTTATGTAGTGTTTTATTTTACTTTACATTTTGCAACACCTTAAAATCACTTTTGTTTCATTTTTCATAGGTAACTTGACAATTGGCTAAATGGCTTATTAAGTAGGCACCTCAGAGGGCTGGGGATTTAGCTCAGTGGCAAAGCGCCTGCCTGGCAAGCGCAAGGTCGTGAGTTCAGTTCCTGGTACCGGAGAAAAAAAAAAAAAAAAAAAAAAAAAAAAGTAGGGACTTCAAGGATTGCCTAACCAGTAGAATGAAGAAAATAATAGTATTAGAATTATTTCTAATATTCTGGTCATTCATCTTTTCTGTAATCCTCCAAGTAGTAAGGAAAGTAAAAATGAAGTGTTTTTGTTTCCTGAAATAATTCTTTCTAACTGTGAGTAATTGTGATTGTATGTAGTTTTGTTAGGAAAACTGAAGTTTTGAATCTGGTGCTATTTGAGCATTATATTCCAGGATCATTGCCTCAGTCTTTCGTTTTACTAGGAATTACAAAATGGTAATTTTTAATTTCTTCCTTCCATACTGAAACGTGTTTGTAACAGAAACTTTTTCGTCATTCCCCAAGCCTACCTGATCACTCTTGATACACAATTTGTATGGGAAAGGCAGGACAAATTCTAATCGGTGATTTTTTTGTAATGAGATCTGTGGTGTCCAAGGAATTGGAATCGAAATTTTTAACTTATTTTTTGGCAGTACTAGGGGTTGAACCTAGGGTCTTGAGCATGCTATGAATGTAGTCAGTCACTGAACTACATAGCTTCCACTGCTTAAAATTTTTAAAACAAGTCTAGTTAAGTTGCCCAGATTGGCCTTGAACTTAGAATCCTTCTGCCCCAGCCTCCTACATAACTAGACAAGTGGTGGTGAGGCTATGGCAAAGCTCTAGAAGGCTCACCATCACTGATTGTGACATTACAGACACGTGGTGCTGCACCCAGTAGTTTTTTAAAATCTCTACTTGTAAAAACTTATTATTTGACTGTATGAGCATTACTAACTATATTTCAGTTAGTAACATTTGTTACTCTTTTTGATGCTCCCCTTGTCATGTTTTTGGCAAATGGGAGCCATTTAGTACCCCAGTGCATTTTTCTTACCTCATCTTTTAGTACTCTTTATTGCATTTGCCAGTTTGCCAGTTCCCTTTTTCACAGAGATTGTGCACATGCTGTTTGTCTACCTCTTCCCCAAGGTTGAGCTGACCGCTTCCTGAGGCGTGATTTGAAGTTGTAATGAGACAGCCTCTTCTTGAACACCTCTCTCAGACTTGATTAGCTCCCTTCTTTAGTACTTCTCGTAGCCTTTGCATTTCTCTCAAGAACTTATCACAGTTGCTATTATTTGTTTGATGTGCTTAGTTTGTTCAAAGAAGCTTGTCTTTTTGCCACTAAATCCTTTCTATTTAACTCTGTGCTTGACACTTGGTGGATACTTAGTATTTGTTGCGTGATTACCTAGTGAATTAGTATGTGTGTGTATGAACATCAAGAGAGACTGGATTGGGAAATCTAAACAGAAGGACTCTTCAAGGAGTATGTGTGTTGGGCAGAAGTTGATTTTCTTTGAGGGTACAGGGTTCTGAGAAGGTACAATATGCTTATAGAAGTGATGGCTAGCATTTTAGAGCTTCTGGTGTTACAAACAGCCCCCTGCGGCATGCGTGTTGTAGGTTTGCCACCACTGGCTTATAGTAAACCGGGATTCAAGTGTCTGACTTCTGGTCCATTTGTTCCAAATTTTGTATAGCCCATTTGGGAGTTAGTACTCTTCGGGGGGGTAAAAGGAATCCCCTCTATTTCTGTAGAAGCCTCATGGATCTTAGGTACTTTCAATCTTTTTTTTTTGTCTTTTTGAGACAAGGTCTCTCTAATGCAGTTCAGGCTAGCCTTGAGCTCACTTTGTAGCCCAGGCTGGTCTCGAACTCACAACGATCCACCTGCCTCAGCCTCCCGAGTGCTGGGATTACAGGTGAGCGCCACACCTGCTGGTACTTTCAATCTTTAAGGCTGAAAGGGAACTTAAATTCAGGTCAACTTAGGTCTTCATGGTTTTTTGGATTTTTTTATCTTTAGCTACATACCGTTTTATTGCTTGGGAATTTTCTTTAGCTCTGTTTACTCTTAAATATTAAAAAATGATTTTAAGAAAATCTGTATTGCTGCTATAAACAGAAAACCAGTATCATTTGCTAGAAAAAAAAAGGGTAACCAAAATTAAGTACAAAGAACATACAATAGTGTTAATATCTAGCTAGGTGCCTTTGTCATAAGCTTTTAGACTTGTTTTTCCCTTTGTTAAAAAGTACGATAAGCAGGTTTCATCCAGAGTTAATAGGCCTAGTAGCATCAACCTGAGACTTGATATAATAGAAATATAACACGAGTATACATTTTTTTTTTTTTTAAAACCTGTCAGTTTTACAAACTTCACTTTTTCATGTCTATATGTAGTATTTCCTTTTCTTTTGGGGGGGCTGTGTGAATGTGGTGGTATTAGTTGTATTGATAGCATCATTAGTAAAGTGAGTTTAATACTGATGTATGTTCTAGTGGTTTTGTTTTGTTGTTATTGTGGTGGTGGTGGTGGTAGCTTTTTTATTTTGTCTTTGTGTTTTCTTGTTGTTGTTTTAGCTGTACTCAGAGCTTGAGCCTAGGGTCTTTACACTGAGCTACATCCCCAGCCCTTTTTTTATTTTGAGGCAGGGTCTTGCTGAGTTCCGCAGGCTGGACTCAAACTTTCAGTCCTCTTGCCTTGCCTCCCATAGTGCTAGCCACCATGCCTGGCTGTATATTAGCTTCTTACTTCTGCTGTAACAGATTACCACGTGACTTAAGGCAACAGAAATTTATTATTTTATAGTTCTAGAGATCATAAATCCAGAAATAAGTTTCACTGTGTTAAAATCAAGGTGTTGGCAGGACTGTATTTCTTCTGGAGGCACTGGGGGAGAATTCGTTCCCTTACTTTTTCCAGCTTCTAGAGCTTCCATACCTTTTTTGACTTGTGGTCCTTTCTTCCATATTTAAAGCCAACAGCCTAGTATCTGCAGATCTCACTAGCTCTGAGCTCTTTTCCATTGTAAACGACACTTGTGATTTTGCTTACATTGAGCCCCACCCTTATAATCTAGCATAATCTTATCATAGCATGCCTAATTTCAGTCACATCTGTAAGGTCCCTTTTGGTACACAACATGTGTAGGTTCTGTACATTAGGATATGGACATCTTGGGGGGCAATATTCTGCCTACCACACCTAGAATCTAAGCTTTTTTGGTTTTGTTTTTGTTTTGTTTTATAGCATTAGGTGGTCTCTTCAGTCAGCCTACACAAGCTCCTACCCAGTCCAACCAGCTGATAAATACTGCAAGTGCTCTTTCTGCTCCAACACTATTGGGAGATGAGAGAGATGCTATTTTAGCAAAATGGAATCAACTGCAGGCTTTCTGGGGAACAGGAAAAGGATATTTCAACAATAATATTCCACCAGTGGAATTCACACAAGAAAATCCTTTTTGCCGGTTTAAGGTATTACTATCTTCATTTGAGGAGTATATATAAGAGAGAACATGACGTTTAGATTAAAAATTACATCAAGAAAGCAGTTGCTTTGTTCTTTAGCACTTTGTGCCTTAAACATGGTATGACTGTACTTTTTCAAAATATAAAAATTATTAAAAAAAAAGGAATTTGGTTAAACAACAAAACATGGTCATTCTGTCTCATCGCTAGCAAAAGTACAGGTTGAGTGATTCATCTGAAATGCCTGGGATCAGAAGTTTCTTACATTTTGGAATATTTGCATATACATCTGAGATCTTGGGGATGGGACCTGAGTCTAAACACAGAATTCATGTATATATTATATGCAGCTTCTGCACATAACAAAAGGCATCTTCAAACAGGATTTTTAGTGCACTTGTATTTTCACGGTATCCTGTCACGCGGTAAGGTGTGGTATTTTCCACTTGGTGGCATCATGTTTTGATCCTCAGAAAATTTCAGACTTTGGAGCACTTTTAGGTTTCAAATTTTCAGATTAGGGACATTGAACTTACATATCTTAAATGCATTAATTGAAGTTTTAATATTTATGTCTAGTGATATATAGACATGTTACATACAATTTAAATTTTTTCTTTTTAAAGAAGTTAGTATATAATATACATATGGTAAAATGCATATTATATACGTGGGTGAGTTTAAATACTTTTAAAAAGTTTTGCATGAGTGGTAACAAGGGACCAAAATCTTTTATCTAAGAGACTGATTTTCAGCAAGGTATTGTCATATTTAATATTATATAAAAAACCTAACCTGATTTATAAAGTTTTCTGCTACATAAAACTATAAAATGCCAGGTGTGGTGGCACACGCCTATAATCCCAGCACTCAGAAGGCAGGAGAATCTTTGTGAGTTCGAGACCAGCCTGGGCTACAAAGTGAGCTCAAGGCCAGCCTGAATTGCACAGTGCGACCCTATCTCAAAAAAAAAAAAAAGCCATAAAACTATAGCTGTTCCATAGTATTTCTAACATGACGGTATCATTATCCTTTAAAAGTGTTTGTAAGTCATTTACCTAAAACTAAGTTTCTTCAAATCAAAGGCTGGGAATGTAACTCAGTGGCAGAACACATCCCTAGCATGTGTAAGACTGAGTTTGATCCCTAGTCTTAAAAAAAGATTCTATGATCAGATACATGATGAAATAAATACATTTGTTCTATGGTTTTTATGGTATGGGAGTAGGATGTTGAGACAGGGTCCCAGTATCTACCATAGGCTGGCCTTGAACTTGAGCAGTCCTGCCTCAGCTTCTCAAATGCTGGGGTTATAGGTATGCACCACCACCCTTGGCTTGGCAGTCATTTTTATAATGACTTGTTTGTTTCAGTGGTTCACAGAAACCCAGCCAGCAATAATAAACACAGAAATTCTTCAGAGGAGAAAGCTCTTAAATTACTGTCTTGAGGTGAAATGTTAATTTCACTATATGTTTATGTTATTCTTAGGCAATAGAGTTTTTCTTTGTACATAATTGTGTGATTCCTAGGATACAGAATGGTAGGAAGAGCTATTGCGTTCATTACCATTGTTATTTTTTTTCTCATTTTAATGGATATTAAGCTAGTAATATTAACCACTTGATTTTTAAGATCTGTACATATTTTTGATATTATTTATTTGTCATTTCACAGGCTGTAGGTTATAGTTGTATGCCTAATAACAAAGATGAAGATGGGTTAGTGGTTTTAGTTTTCAACAAAAAAGAAACAGATATTCGAAGCCAGCAACAGCAGTTGGTCGAGTCGTTACATAAAGTTTTGGGAGGAAACCAGACCCTTGCTGTAAATGTAGAGGGTATTAAAACATTGCCAGATGATCAGTAAGTATACTAAATGTATTGTTTATTTCTTTGTGTTTTGATCCAAAGAGAGTGATCAGCAGCGTTTTTTGTTGCTGAAGTACAAATTAACTACCAGAGCAGATTTTTAATTTCTTAAATTAACATTAGAAAAGTTTGTTGAAAAGTTTTTCATTACTTTGCATTTTTTACTAGATGCTAATAATTTCATTCAGGTCCAGGATCTGAATCGTATGGCTTTGTGCAAAATGAGTACCACAGAGATGTTATTGGACAGTTTTATTAACTGATTCCTATCTATGTTCATAAAATACAGTTGCTTTACATCCATTGTCCCATGTATAATTTTTAGTCTTAGTGGCAAGACACTTGTTTTAGGACGTACAGGGTTAGAGGAATTATGATTAGTGAGATACAATAACTGAAACAGATTTTATTTCTTGGGCCTTAATTGCACAGAAACACCCCATAAATTTCAGCAGAATCTCCAAGGTACTTCCCAATTCTGGAAAAAATACTAATATTTATATGAGACTATACAAATTTTATCTTATTTACCTTCCTTATTTTATCATTGAAGTACCCGTTTATTTTCTAAGTCTTAGGAACAAAGTAATTCTCTTGTAAAAATCCATTTCTGAATTTAATTAGCACCCTTATAAAATCATATGCTGTGAAAAAAAAAATGAGAAAAGAAGGATAAAATGGAAACCAAAGATTTGTAAATAAGGAGGAGAAGAGAGGATGAAGGGACAGGTGGGAGATGGGAAAAAAAAGAGGAATCAAGATATGTACAGGTACAGATCTCTTACGATGAATTTGATCATATATATTTAAATTGTACCAATACATTTAATTTTAAAAAATCATGTGCTGTGCATTATATACTCAGTATTTTATAAATTGGTTATTTTCCTCAGGACAGAAGTTGTCATTTATGTTGTTGAGCGTTCTCCAAATGGTACTTCAAGAAGAGTTCCGGCTACAACACTGTATGCCCATTTTGAACAAGCCAGTATAAAAACACAACTGCAGCAACTTGGCGTAACCCTCTCTATGACTAGAACAGAACTTTCTCCTGCACAGATCAAGCAACTTTTACAGAATCCTCCTGCTGGTATGTTTCTACAGTCATAGAGTTGAGAAAATGAAAAATTTAGAAATAATTAAGTATTCCCCCTCTTTTGTGAGGGTAATTGGTTATTAGTGTTCATAAAACCAATATGAGCTTATCACATGTTTGCTTATTTGGTAAATATGAATCTGAATAACTGTACATACCAATATTCTTTTTTTCATATAATTGAAGTTCTATAGTTACATGTTTTAGAAATTTTGGAAAATGATGAACTAAAAGAAATAGTCTGTAGCCTATTTATCCATAGGTATTTTTGTAAAATTTTAATTTTTTTTCTAGTTTAACTTTTTTTTTTTTTGGCGGTACCAGGGATCAAAATCAGGATCGAACTTGAACTTGTGCTTGCCAGGCATGCACTTGTGCTACTGAGCTATCTCCCCAGCCCCTAGTTTAACTTTTAACTGAGTACTGAAATAAAACCTGAGTGTGTTCTCACTGTAAAAGATTCTAGGTGTCCTAGGGTGACTGTTATAATTCTTTATTTTCCTTCACTAGAACTATTGATTTGTTATATTCTGTTCCTGCGTTATCTGCAATTTGATTTGATTTGATTTATTTTGGAGACAGGGTGTCTATAGTTCAGGCTGGCCTCAGACCCACTATATAGCTCAGGTTAGCCCCAAACTCTTGGTGATCATCCTGCCTCAGTCTCCTGAGTGCTGGGATTACAGGTATGTGCAACCACACCCAGCTTGCCTATGTGTGATTTTAAATGTGAGCATATGTAATTCTCGTTAAGATGGATTCTGAACCAGGCATAGTGGCGCATGCCTGTAATCCCAGCACTTAGGAGGCCCAGGCAGGAGGATTGTTGCGAATTCGAGTTCGAGTTTGAGTTCGAGACCAACCTGGGCTACAGAGTGCTAATTGGACACTAAAGAAAGCTCTACTCTTTGCATTCATAGCAAGGAGGTGTAATAGTTCTTGTCTTTTTTTGTCACGAGGGGAGTACTGAGGATTGAATTCAGCATCTTGTACATGCCAGCAGGTGCTGTAGCACTGAGCTGTATCTTCAGGCTTTCTCCCCTCTCCCCTTTGCCACTGATGGCCTTTTTATATTTTACTTTTTGTAGTACTGGAGATTGAACCCAAGGACTTTGCACTATGCTACATCCCCAGCCCTTTTAAATTTGAGACAGCGTCTAGGTGGCTTAGTTACTCAGGCTGGGTTCAAACTTAAGCATCCTTCCACCTCAGCCTTCGGGGGTGCTGGGACTACAGGTGTGCACCACCATATCCAGCCCAAAAATATTTATTTTAATTTCCATTTCCCTGATTTCCAGTAAAGTTGAGCATCTTTCATATGTTTATTAGGCCCATGTTTGTATTTTTTATGTTATCTATTTATGTCTTTTGCCTATGCTCTGTAAAATTATTTATCTTTCTTTTTGAGTCATAGGAGCTCTTTCATTGGTTGTTTTTTTTTTGTTTTTTTTTTTTTTTTTTTTTTGGTACCGGGAATCAAACTCAGGACCTTGCTCTTGCCAAGCAGGCACTTGCACAGCTGAGCTATATTCCCGGCACATAGGAGCTCTTTCTTTATTCTGGAGGTTCTGTAGGTCATAGGTATTTCCTTTCAGTCCATATTTTTTTTAAGCTTTATCCAACAGAAATTTTTAATTTTATACAGATATTTGACACTCATTTTTTATGATCACTTCTGAGTTTTGGGGTCATATTTTAGAACATTTTTCCCATATAAATATAAACAGAAAGTAGTTTTGGAAAAATATGTTTTTTCTTTGTGGTAGGTGTTGATCCTATTATTTGGGAACAAGCCAAGGTGGATAACCCTGATTCTGAAAAGTAAGTATATCTTCATTTTGTTTTATACATGAACTAACATCCTATGAGGGAAGCAAACAAATGTGCGCTTGGGCAATTGTAATTCTTATACTTGAGGGGAATTTTCGTCTTCATTGCTCTTTAAAAATATATCTACCATGGTATAGTAGCATAGTGTGGTGAAAAACAGCCAGGAATGAAGAAATCTGAGTGCCAGTCTCCTATTTACATTTGCATTTAAGTAATGCAGGTTTTTGAATGAAACATATTTCCTCGTTTGTAAAATAGGGAGGTTGAATGTAAAATAGGGAGGTTGAATAAAATCTCTGTACTATAATGTTGTTGATTTCATAGTCATGGATTTAGAAGTTTGCTGTAATATTACATGATGTTATGTGAAAATCTTAACTTCTCGTATTTTATGATAATGGGCTTACTATCTGAAAATTGACTGCTTCCATTTCTTCAGGTTAGTTCCTGTCCCCATGGTGGGTTTTAAAGAACTTCTTCGAAGACTGAAGGTTCAAGATCAGATGACTAAACAGCATCAGACCAGATTAGATGTAAGCAGTTCATTTCATTGTCTAGCCCTGAGAGGAGGAAAGGGATTGTAGACATTTACTTGTTTTTTGCCATGTGTGCTATTTTTTCTTATGGAGAAGAAGTTAACAGTGATAGTTTTATAGACCACCTTTTTATAATAGAGTGCCCCAAATCATGTAAATAAATCGGAGTTGACATATATTAACAGTGAATTTAGATTTGCTGGGCTAGCAGTTTAATTAGACTCTTTATTTCCAGCTCTGGCCAGTGACTCCATATTTTCTTTATTGAATGCTTTTATTTGTGGGGCCTTATGAAAATGAAGGCTATAATTAAGATTGTGATTGTCATAATTACATTGGTATATTACTCTACACTGATGAAATAAATTTAAATTCCTAAATTTACTTAAATCTACTTGAAATTTTATAGAGTAGATTCTTATAGTCAAATACTTAAAGGGGCTTAAAAGTCAACTGCATATTCTCCTGCAGTGAATGCTGATTTCATTCAGACTTCTGAGTAATAAAGACCTTACCATTTCATGAATCCATTTCACTGGCTACCAGCTCTGTTAATATAATTTTTTTTTCTTGCATTAAACTTGTATCTCTCTTTTTAACAGTTTACACCCATTTTCCCTGGCATTGTTTTGTGACAGCCTACAAATACCTGAACATCATAGTTACTCTTTAGAATTCTCTTTTCTAGTTAAAAACTTCAACATGGTTTCTCATGTGCATAATTTCCAGGTTGTATATTATATTAGGCCACACTTAACCTATCAGCATCATTTTTAAAATGTACTATGTACCGTACTGTGACTGGGATATGACCAAAGTTCTTAATAGTCCTTCAAAGTAAAACTAAGGAAGCTAAGTTTTATTAGGTATTTGTCAATTTTGTTGATGGTTTCAAATCAGCTTTTGGTTGATTTTTCTGTATATTTTCCTGTTTTGAATTTCATTAATTTCAGGTCTTACATTTCTTTTAATCTGCTTGCTTTAGGTTTATTTTTCTACTTTTTAAGATAGCAGCTTATTGATTTAAGACCTTTCTTTTCTAATATAAACATTTAATGCTATTAATTTCCCTGTAAGCCCTATTTAGCTGAAATCCATAAATTTTGATAATTTTATATTTCTACTTTTGATAGTCAAAACACTAATTTTGAATAAAGAAATCATTTTCACTTCTGAGGTTTTTTTTTTTTGGACTAGTAGCTTATTTAAAAGTATGTTTAATCTCCAAGTGTTTGGAGATTTTCCTTGTATTTTGTTGCCTATTTCTAGTATAATTCTGTTATGATTAGAGAGTTGTGTGGGTTGAATTCTTTTTTTTTTTGGGGGGGGGTCTTTTTGAGACAAGGTTTCACTATGCAGTTCAGGCTGGCCTTGAACTCAACTTGTAGCCCACGCTGGCTTCGAACTCACAGTGATCCTCCTGCCTCAGCCTCCCAAGTGCTGGGATTACAGATGTGCACCACCACACCCGGCCTTCACTTCTTTTAACTTTATTAAGGTTTTAAAACCCAGGAGGCTTTGAAAAGAAATTCTATTTTTGGGTGGAGAAATTCTGTTTCCATTAGGGTCAGTGAGATTCACTTGGTTGGTGGTATTGTTCAGTTCTGTATTGTTGATTTTTCTGCCAGCCAGTTCAACTGTTAGGAGAGTTGAAGTCTCCAACTGTAGTTTTGAGTTTGTCTTTTTTTCCTTTCAGTTTTATCGGTTTTTCTTCATGTATTTTGAATCTCTGTTGGATACATATTTATCTAGAATTGCATTTTCTTGGGAGATTTATGTAATGTCCCTCTTTTTTCTTTTATGCATTTTTATTGAGACAAAACTCACATATCATACAGTTCACCCACTTAAAAGTATATGATCCAGTGGGGCACCATGACATACATGTGTTGTAATCTCAGTATTTAGGAGGCAGAGGTAGGATGGTGAGTTCAGGCCCAGCCTGTGCTACATACCAAGACCCTGTCTCAAGAAAACAAAACAAACAAAATATATATGATCCAGTAATTTTTTAGTTTCCTCAAAGAGTTGTGCAACCACTAGAATCAATTTTAGAACAATTTAAAATGCCATAGCCATTAGTAGTCCTTAGACTGTACTATAATTTCTAACAGTGGGTTTAAGGCTAATTGTAAAGCCCAAGCTGTCATCATGTTAACATTTTTCTATTCAGGTCTGGTTGTTGTTTGTATTCTATAATATTACTTACAATCCTTATTTCTAAATGTGTTATTTTTACTGTATATTGCCTCATCGCTAAATATTGTGGAGCACCAAAGAATTCTCTGAATGCTACTTTTTAATTTTTAGATGTATAATAAGGGAAGAAATACAAATGCAGAATTAAAGGAAAGGAGTTTGTATTTTGAGAAGTGACTTTCAAGCTTATCTCAAAATTAGACTTTGCCTATACATATAGGTCTACGTGATAAGTAACTGTAACATCCATACGTGACTTACCCTAACTTTTAAAAAACAGATCATATCTGAAGATATTAGTGAGCTACAAAAGAATCAGACGACAAGTATGGCCAAAATCGCACAGTATAAGAGGAAACTCATGGATCTTTCCCATAGAACCTTACAGGTAGTAATCAGATTTTTTTTCCCTAAACATTTGTAAGATATGTATGAAATGTGTGTTGAGTATAGATCTTTTAATAGAAAAAAAGAGTCAAACAATAATAGTCTGAAACTGAAAGCGTAAAACTTTCTCAGTAAAACCTTCAAGTTCAAGGAGTGATCTTACAGGGTTGGGTGAAGAGAAGATATCTGAAAGTTTGTATCTTAGTGGGAGAGAGTAGGTGAAAATAGTGAAGAAATGAAGGATCTGTGAAGAAAGGCACATATGAGATCACTGATACTAACTTTCAAACAATAGAAAAACAAGTTTAGGTGTCAAGAAAGGGAGTGTGACCATTAATGGTTGAAAACCAACAATTTCCAAGTTAATGAGGGAAAATAAAAGAATGGCAACAAAACTGAAATCATAAACTATCATGAAAACAGAAATACTACATTTTAGAACAAATGGGGCACAGCAAAAGATGTATTCAGAAAAAATATATAGGCTTAAAAAGTCTTCAGTTTTGGGGCTGGGGATTTAGCTCAGTGGCAAAGCGCCTGCCTGGCAACCGCAAGGTCGTGAGTTTGGTTCCCGGTACCGGAGAAAAACCAAAAAAAAAAAAAAAAAAAGTCTTCAGTTTTAAAAATCAAATGAAAAAAAAAGTTAAGAAATTAAAAAAAGAATATCAAGATAACCCAGAAAAAACCAACTAAGAGAAAAATAGATAAAAGTAAAATCAATGAGACATTTAAAAAATTAGAATTAAAAAGCTGTTTCTTCAAAGAGATGGTCAAAGTGGTTGACTGACTTCTGAGTCTAAAGAAGGGAAAGAGCAATATATTTATACAAAGTTAATGAAAAAAAAAAAACCATTATCACAGATGTATAAAACAGTAAGAAAATAAGAGGCCAAAAAAATTAGAGGAAGATACCAAGGCCAGATAATTTATTTGCTGAAGTTTGTCTAGTTGATGAGGTGCTAATTCCAAATTATTCTTGACAATTGAGGAAAAGTATAGATGACTTTCTTACATTTTTTAACGGCTTTGCTGATATACAACGTACTGCATAATTCACTAATTTAAATGATATAGTCCAACATATGTTTGTAATACATTCAGACTTCTGCAGCTACGACCATGATCAATTTTAGAACATTTTCATCACCTTAAAAATAAATTCCCTGGTTACTGGTAGCTACTTCATTTTACTCTAAATCCACCAGCTCTAGGTAATAGCTTTCTGTTAATGGATTTGCTTATTTTGAACACTTCATATAAATGGAATCATACCAGCTTCTTTGTAGCATAATGTTTGCAAAGGTCAACCATAGTGTAGCATGTAACAGTACTTTTATTCCTTTCTATTGCTGATTTTCATTTTATGAATATCCACATTTGTATTTATATATTTATCAACTGATGGACATTTTGGTTTCTAGTTCTTTGCTATTATGAAAAATAGAGCTATTAATATGTCCACACATGCTTCCATTTCTTAAGTGTAAACATAAGAATTGCTGGGTTTATGGTAACACTATGTTTGATTTTTTTGAAAACTACCAAACTGTTCTGCAGAGCACTTCTACCACTTTATAGCTGTTTTTTCACCTCAAATAAGAAATCTATGAACAGAGATATAGATGTATCTGTCTTTTAGGTGGTTTGGGGAAGTGAAACCAGGGCTTCTGTGTTGAACTACATCCCTAGGCAAATCCCTCCTTCCCTTTTTTTGAGACAGTATCTCATCAAGTTGCTAAGTTGCCCAGGCTGGGCTTCAGTTTGTGACCTTTCTGCCTCAGCCTCTGAGTGCTGGCACCAGATACATCTAATTTAAAAACGCAGATTGTCAGGCACAATGCCACACACCTGTATTCCTGCACTCTAGGAGGCTGAGGCAGGAGGATCACAAGGTTAAGCCTGGCCTGGGACAACATAGCGTGATCCTGACTCAAAATATTAAAACAAAAGGGATGGGAATGTAGCTCAGTGCAAAGGCCTTGGGTTCAATCCCCAGTACTGAAGGGAAAAAAAAGATGCAAATTATGCCAAATTTTAAAAGCTTGATATAAAGGCTCCATAATGCATGATTCCCTCTATATGACATTATGCGCAAGGTAAGTTAGTTCTAGGGCCCAAGAATAGGAGAGAAACAAGAGGGAATTTTTTGGGTAATGGAAATATTCTGTATCTTTTTGGAGGGTGTGGAGGGGCAGTGTTGACAGTCACCCTAGGACCTTATATATACCAGGTGTGAAATCTACCACTGAGCTATACTCTACCCCACCTCTGTTTTTTAATGTGGTACTGGGGATTGAATCTTGTGACTCAGTATTTTAAACCTCTTGTGATCAAATGAATGCTATATTGCCATAAGATGGGACATAAGATCCTTGGAGCAGAATAAGAGAATCTATAAACAGATACAAGTGTATCTGGATATATGTATGACAGAGGTGGTATTTCAGTTCATTAAGTTATCCTGGAGTAACTGACTTTCCATTCAGAAGAAATAAAATTAGACCACTGTATATTATATGCAAAAAAGTAATAGAGATTTAATTCTAAGAAACTAGTGAGACTGCATGTATAATCAAGGGATTGGGAGACACTTTACCAGAACAGCAGAAACCATAGAACAAAATTGACTATGTAAGAATTAGAAAATTTTGCTAGGCATCGTGGTACATACCTGTAATTCTAGCTACTTGGGAAGTGAAGGAAAGAGGATCACAAGTTCAGGGTCAGCCTGGACAACTAAGACTGTCAATTTTTTTTTTTCCCAAAAAAGAACTGAGAATATAGTTCAATCCTAGTAAGAAAGAAAAATTACACAACAAAAAATGTAGAAGCTGCCACTGAGTAGCCTGTAATCCCAGCTACTCAGGAGGCTGAGGCAGGAAGATTACCAGTTTAAGACTAGCCCAGGCAACCTATTGAGACCTTGTCTCAAAAAAAAAAAAAAAAAAATTAAAAATAGACTTGGGATATAGTTCTAGTTGTAGAATGCTTGCCTACCATGCACAAGGCCCTGGGTTCAATCCCTAGTACTAAAAAGGCAGGTAAAAAGCATGATGCCAGAAGCCATGTGTCAACAATCACGAATTCAGAAAAAGGAAAATGTGAAAATAGCACTGATGTTAGCTGTAGTTTTAATGTGCATATTCTACAAAGAAATTTTATAGTTGGACAGGAAAACAGTTGCAGTGCAGGAAAAGTGTAAGGGCAGTTTATAGATGAACAGCTACAAAGTATTTGGAATCAAGGGATTACAAATTAAAGAATTGGGCCAGGTGTGGTGGTGCATGCCTATAATGCCAGCACCCAAGAGGCTGAAGCAGGAGGATTGGTGCAAGTTCGAGGTCATCCTGAGCTACAAAGTGAGTTCAAGACCAGCTTAAATTGCATAGTGAAACCCTGTCTCAAAGACAAAACAAGAAAACCCAACAAATTAAAGAATAAATATGAGTTCCCTTAAACTTGTGAGACTGAAAAATTTTAAACATCACCACTACTGACAGGAATGTAGGGTAAAGGTACTCTCTCATGTGGTTGTAAATCTATAAATTTTTAGGATCTTTTCAGAAAGCAGTCTAGTAGCTTCTGTTACAAATGAAAATGTACATACTTAATTTAACCAAGCAGTTTCATTCTTGGGGATCTATATCTGCAAGCTGAGTTCTGTATACAATTCATAAAACAAAATGTTCTGTGCCCATCAAGACAATAAGTATTGAATAGAGGTCATTAATGTATGAAAAAATGCATCTATTCAAAATAACAAGTTAAACCTCTAAGGGTTTAATGAGATTTTATTGTGTTAATTATGTATATAATATGTTTTGTAAAATATTAATGATTAGAAAGCAACTTAGCCAGACCATGTTTCAAAATAAAAGAAAGTCTGGGATGTAATTCAGTGTGAAGATGCTGGGTTCAGCCCTCAGTACCAAGCAAACAGTACAGACTGCTTTTGTAATCTGAAGAAAAAGTACAATAAAACGGATTTAAACTTAATATTAGAGCCAGCTGTGGTGATGTACACCTGTAATCCAGCCCTCGTGAGGCTGAGGCAGGAGGATCATTGCAAGTTCAGGACCAGCCTGGGCTACAAAGTGAGTTCAAGGCCAGCCTGAACTATACAGTGAGACCCTGTCTCACAAAGGAACAACAAAAAAAAAACAATAAAAAACTTAAATATTAGAGATTTGTGTTTTTATATTATTTATTATTATTATTTATATATTTATATTTTGAGACCTGCCTCAAAAAAGAACAACAAAAAACCAACAACAAAAAAACTTAAATATTAGAGATTTGCGTATTTATATTATTCTTCAAGGTTACAAGTATCTAAGACTAGTATAATGTTGCCTTTTTTTGTAGTTTTTTAAGCCATGAAACTATGTATAGGTTTAAAATAGTTGTTACTCTTTTCTCCATACTGCTACTCTAGTTGTTGAGTGTACTTACGTGATACTTCTCCTTGACTAAAATGTACAGAGGTGTACATGCCTGTAATCCCAGCATTCGGGAGGCAGAGGCAGAGGAATCACTGTGAGTTTGAGGCCACCCTGGGCTACATAGTGAACTCAAGGCCAGCTTCAACTGCATAGTGAGTCCCTGTCTCAAAAGAAAAAAAAAATGGATGGAAACATAATTTGAATCACAATGTTAAGCCCTACTACAATGGTACCTTGGTTCACAAGCACTTGTGTTTGTGAACAATTTGGTTTACAAGCAGAAGTGTTTGGCAGAATTTTTGTTTGCAATCTGCATTGGGTGGCAAACACAACTGCAGCCATTTTTCCGACACAAACACAAATGTGACCATCTTTTCCAAAATTGTAGACCAAATTAAGTTTGTGAACTGAGGTACCACTGTATAGTGTTAGTATAGTTTCTAGCTGATTTCTTCCAACAACTTAATTGTAACAAAATAACTTGCGTAAGAGTTGATTCTGTTAGTATTTATGGCCTTTCTTTGTGTAGGTCCTAATCAAACAGGAAATTCAAAGGAAGAGTGGTTATGCCATCCAAGCTGATGAAGAGCAGTTGAGGGTTCAGCTAGATACAATTCAGTCTGAACTAAATGCACCTACTCAGTTCAAGGTAAGCACTTCTAAGACCATATAGGTAGAAAATTCAGGTAGATCTGCAGAAAAGTAGCAAGTAGTCTTCAAACAGAATTTTGTAAAGCTGTGTTTATTAAGCATTTGTTGAAACTTCCTTTCTAAAGTAAACTCTTAGTCATGATTCTTTTGGCTTGTGCTCTTGTTTCAAATGATGCATACAGAGACCATTGGAAATGTTTTGTTTTGTTTTTGTTGTTTTGAGACAGGGTTTTGCTGTGTAGTTCAAACTGGTCTTGAACTCCATATGTAGCCAAGGCTGACCTCGAACTCACAGCAGTCCTCCTGCCTCAAACTTCCTGTGTGCCACCACTTCTGCTGGAAATTTTTAGTTAACATTCTGAAGCCATCCTTTGAAAAGAAAACATTCTTTGTTAGAAGTGGTACTGTTGTTAGCAGTTACATTTTGACTTGTTTTTAGGGCCGACTAAATGAACTGATGTCCCAAATCAGGATGCAGAACCACTTTGGAGCAGTCAGATCTGAGGAAAGATATTACATAGATGCAGATCTGTTACGAGAAATCAAGCAGGTAAGTGTTGTACAAAGGTGTACTTTTTAAAAGTGTGAGCTTACCACCTCATGTTCATCAGGATGGCTATTATCCAAAAATAAAATGTTGGGTGGGAATGTAGAGGAACTAGAACTTTCATAAGCTGCTGAGGAACATAAAATGATGCAACCTGTATAGTGAGGTGGTTCTTTTAAAATTTAAAAGTAGGCTGGGTATGGTGGCACATGCTTGTCCCAATGTAAAAAATAAAAACGGCCTCAGGGGGTGTAGCCCAGGGCCAAAGCCCTGGGTTCAATCTCCAGTTCCACCAAATAAATACATACATACAAACAAAATGAAATAAAAATAGGGTTACCATATGACTGGCAGTGGCACTTCCCAGCTGTCAGAGCAGGGAAGCTGAAAGAAGGGTCTTTGGACAAATGTGTACATATCTATCCTGTGTATATATATACACACAATGGGTATTTCCTAAAAGGGAAATTCTGTCACACACTGTCACGTAGGTAGACTTTGAATATGTTATGCTAAGTGAAATAAGCGAGTCATAAAAGGACAAAATATGATTATACTTCTATCAGGTACCAAAAGTAGTCTAATTAAAAGAGAATGAGAATGGTCATTGGCAGGGGAGAAGGGAATGGGGATTGTTTACTGGGTTCAGACTTTCAGTTTGAGGAATTCTACAGACAGTAGCACTTTCTGCCCAACAGTGTGAAAATACTTAACATCCCTGAACTGTAACTTAAAAGTGGTTCAGAGAGTAAATTTTATGTTTTGCCTATTTTACCACAGTTTTAAGAAGTGAATCATTTCTACCATCATTCCCCCACCCAGAACTATACGTAATAGCAGCAATAGGAAGGACATTAGAAATCTCAAATCTCACTTCTTATTCCAAATCTACTTAACCTGCATTTTATCGACATTATAAAGTGATCTATATGTATGTTAAATTGGGAAGCAGCTGCCCTGAATCATACCTTCCCAACCTACATATAAATGACAGATGTACTATACTGAGTTATTAAAATTTCTCTCAGCCCTAAGGGGACCTGGGTGGAGGCTGAGGTAGTCAAAGCCTCCAATCACCTTTGTAGGGTTCATTTTTGTATGAAAAAAACTTGAGAAGTACTTTATAGCTTGTTTTCATTAGTATAAATACAGATTGGCTTAATAAAAGCTGTCTAATCACTGTTTTAAAGAAGTATACCACAAGATGGTAAACTTTGTGGAACATACTAGGTATGACTATTGACCTGGCCCTGAGAATTTTGTTTAGATGGGTATAAATGTTATACAAATCCAATATTGTATACAGTAGAATAGTTATTACTAAAAACTAGCTTGACTTCCAAGCTTGTAGCAATACACACTCATTTATATTGCATCATTTAAGTGCAGTACTTGGCAATAAAATTAGCTGAGGCAGAAGATTCTAACACATAATCTAGGACCATACTAAAGAGCTTATATATGTTAATATATAAACATCTTTTGTGTGTGGTATTGGGAGTTTGAGCCCAGTTTGTGCATACTACGCAAGTAGTCTACCATTCAGCCAACACCCACCCACCCCTAGCCTTTTTTATTTTTGTTTTTGTTTTTTTTTGTTTTTGTTTTTTTGGTTTTTCTCCGGTACCGGGAACCGAACTCACGACCTTGCGCTTGCCAGGCAGGCGCTTTGCCGCTGAGCTAAATCCCCAGCCCCCCCTAGCCTTTTTTAAATGAGGAAAAGCGGTACACTGTTTTGGGATTGAATCATGGCTTATCATCTATTTTATGACCTTTATGACCTTGGACAGATTACTTATGCACAATTTCTTTAAAGTAGAAATGATCCTAGTACCCCAAAAGGTGCTCAAAAGGATTTTAAATGAATTAAACAATATCAGTAAAGCTATTACAACAATACCTTAGCATAGCAGGTGGGAAGGACTCCTAAAAATGTTACCAACTGTAATAATCTTTAACCATTACCGTAACAAACTTATGTATCACATTAAACTGTTTTCAAATATTTAAGTATCTTGAGTTTTAATACACCTTTATCACAGGTTGATACAAGCAAACAGCTATCCAAAAACATTTCTATTTAAGATACTATTCATAAATATTTGGTTTTATTATACTTTGAATTGTATCCTTTTTACTGTGGTTACATAAAGTGTTATCAGCCAAAGATGTGTAGTACAAATGTTTAAATATGTATTGCTATTAAAAATCTTTCCTGTGAGCAGCTTGCTGTTTAATAGAGTAATAATATGTCCTATTTTCTTTCATTCTAGCATTTGAAACAACAACAGGAAGGCCTTAGTCACTTGATTAGCATTATAAAAGATGACCTAGAAGACATAAAGTTGGTAGAACATGGATTGAATGAAACCATCCACATCAGAGGTGGTGTCTTTAGTTGACAGTTTACGAACGTGTGTTAGAAGTTTGTGAAACGCATCCTCTTACTGCATCAGGCCTTCCTCAAGAACGAATCCGACCACATGGAGAAAAATAAAGAAAATGACCCTCTCTTGGCTTGGAGTTTTGAGGAGATTACTGAGAAATTACTCTTCGCTGAATCTGAAATAAACTAATCACATCTCTTCAAAAATAACCTTCAAAAGATTTACATCTAAAAAGCTGCATATACTTTAAAAAGAGGGAAGAACATAATTAACATTTTTACAACAGCATTTTCTTAAACATCACAGTAATTATTAATTTCCATTCTTTCTATGGCAAGTAAATATGAAATATGTACTTTGCATATAAGTATAATTACTTGGCTGTTGAAAATTTGAGATTCAGAATGTAAATGGACTTCATCAGTTTTTATATATGTGAATTTAAGTTGGGAGGAGTAAAGAAAATCCAACAGTATTTAATGATTAATGTGGTTTTCTTTTCTATAAGATTGGAAAATATATTTTTTTATTATTTGACTTTTTTGGAGTTTATAGAATACATCTAAGCAGTTAGGATACAACAGAATTACTGGTTTTGCAACTTTGTTTTTTAAACCTTTATTTCTAAAAATGAAAATTTAAAATAAATTCTTAATTTGTAATTTTATATAATTTTATCTGGTGCTTTCTTTACTTGACTTTTAGGGAAAGACCATTTATGTCCACACAAGCACTAAATTCACAATCATAATCAAAATCTAGGAGTCCTAGTTTCTATGAATTGGATTTGACTCTCTCGAGGACTTCTGTCAGCCTTGATACATCCTGACGAGGGTGTGGCAAATAAAAGCATTTAGGGTAAAAAAATTCCCTAATACATCATTATTATCTGAAAATACAGAAAACCTAAGTTGGACATTATAATGTACAACAGTGACTCTTTAACAACCCAGTCATTTTAAATAATACTTCTGACTACAGGCTATATATTTGGTCTGCATCTTCTTGGCACCTTTTTTGTTTTTGTTTCAGATAAGATCTTGGTATGTGTAGGCTCAGGCTAACTTTGATCTTGGAATCCTCCTGCCTCAGCATCTGGGATTACAGGTATACATGACCACACCCAGCTTGATGGCCCTCTTGAAGTGGTACAATTTGTCACTTCTATGTAATGTTTTGGCTTGTACTGAGAGGTGTTACAAGAAATAGGTCCCATGAGTCTTGCTATTGTATTTACTGTGGGGACAGTGAGAAATATCATACACATGTATCCAGAATCCATCCTCTGATAATCCACTAACACATTCTGTCATCACTTACTGCAGAGTACAATAGGTTACAATTGTGTAGGAGACTGAGAACTTGTTTTTCTTCCTAAGTTAGCTACTAGAATTTTGCAGCCACTTTTGCTGAGTTTATGGCATGCAAATCTCCATACACCACCTCCGTCAGCATTCTTTCCTACCATTGTGGGAATTACAGCAGTTGCGAATTTCTCTCCTTTGTCATACCTTCCACTTGGCTTGGAAGACAGACACATCCATTGTTTTCACCCACACAGCCAGGTATGGAAGAAAGTCTCTTTCTGCATACCCTCTTACAGCAGGAAAAAACTGACTAAAAAGAGTTGTTAATTACTGAGCTATATGGGAAGTGATTATTTTTTTTTTTTTTTGGTACTGGGAATCAAACTCATGACCTCATGCTTGCCAGGCAAGCACTGTGCCACTGAGCTATATCCCCAACCCTTTACTGAGCTATACAGTCTAGTGTGCACATCACTGATCATGCATACCATGCTTCTCTAGCTTTCATTTTCCATATTCTGATAATGTCAGGTTCTTAGTGGCACAAAGTAAATACACACAGCTAGCACTCAAGAGTCAGCTTGCTCTCTTTTCTCTCCCCTTTTCTGGTTTTTTGAGACAAAATCTTGCTATTAGTTCAGGCTGTCCTTGAACTCACATATAGCCCAGTCTGGGCTTGAACACATAGTGATTTTCCTGTCTCAGCCTCTCACAGAATTTGTATTTTGAAGATAGGTCCAGTCATCCTTCTGGGCATCTAATTCATTGCTAACTGGGTAAGGTAAGCCTTTGGTCCTTGATCATATAGCTAGTTAAATAATTGTGGTCTTATCAGTACCGTAGGTGTATTCCAAGCAAGTGATCACCAAATGCTATAGACTAAATGTTTGTGTCCCCCAAAATTCTTACTGAAACCCTAACACCTCATATGACAGTACAGTGATACCTTGGTTGTCAAAACAGCTCCCAGTTCGAACTTTCCACTATTTGAACAGCAAAGTTTGAAAAAAAAACCTGCTCAGTGTTCGTAACTGTTCAATAGTCAACCAAAAAATCTGAGTTGAAAAAAATGCAAGGCCCAGAGTGAGTCACACATCTTGTCTCCCCGAAGATGAAAAGGGGTGATGCTTCAGTCAAAGCACTGCTCTTGCTGAGACAACATACTGTGTAGTGTTTGTGTTAGTGGGATGAAACATTCCTCATTGTGCTGGTTTTATTCTCCTTTTTTTTTTTTTTTGCACTTTACATAAAATAACAACCATGGCTCCAAAGAAAGTTAGTGATACCAGCAGTAAAACTAAGGAAAACGGAACCACAATCTGTTAAAAGTCCTGGGAAAGGGAATTTATAAATGAAATGTAATTTTTGGGTCTCAGTACCTCTTATTTGGTTTTCCATTATTTCATATGAGAAAAATATGTTCAGTTCTCCAACTTTTCAGTGTTCGAACACAAATTTGGAACAAACTGACTTTGGCATTAGGAGTTGGGCCTTTGAGAGGGGATGCAGTCACGAGGGTAGAGACTTGAATAGGATTAGTACTCTACCCATCTTGCCCCTTGTCATATTTGAAGACTCTGTGAGAAGATATTTTGCTCTATAAGCTAACAGGCCCCTCAACAGGAGCCAAATCTATTTGCCAGTACTTTGATCTTGGATTTGCCCAGCCTCCAGAGCTGTGAGAATACAGACTAAGACATCAAGTTCTTTTAGGTGGGTGAGTGGGAGAAAGAAAGACCCCTTGAGCCCCAGTGCTAAGTTGTGTTCTGTAGCACAATTTTCCAGAAGTTCTGTTTTTAAGCCTCAACTGGCTAGTGGCTCTTATAGATTGTCTTCCCTCAAAATTTTGAACAAGAGCTAGTTGGCAAAAGAAGCACACTGAACCCTTAACACTTAGTTTAGACCTCTATAACTTAAATGCTTTTTGAGACATTGGCAAAGTATAAACAAATCAGTTACCATGCCTACACCAATCATGTAAACTACCACAATACCTCAGGGAAAGGGGTACTATGACTTCACTTTTTCTTGTTTGACATGCATATTCAATATCTTGTAAAAAAAATGCCTGGTTTGAGTAGCATGAGATTCAAGTTAGAGACTGAAACTGTTCGGTTTTTTTTTTTTTTTTTTTTTTTTTTTTTTTGAGACAGGGTCTCACTGTGTAGTTCAGGCTGGCCTTGAGCTCACTTTGTAGCCCAGGCTGGTCTCGAACTTGCAATAATCCTCCTGCCTCAGCCTCCTGAGTGCTGGGATTACAGGGGTGGGCCATCATGCCTGGCTTAAACTGTTTGGTTTATAAAATGTAGGACTATATATTGAGATAAAGAGACTGATGGAAGAGGAATGATACTATTTCAAGGCAAAGTTTTTTCCTTTAAAGAGATCAGAGTGTCTTTAAAATTCTGATTTTGGTATTAAATTTATGTTAGCCACTAATACTACAAATGGACATTCACTGGCAAGTCTATGGAAATATCTTACAATCTTGAAGTCTTTTATTGAATCCAATCAGGAGTACACAGTTTTAGAGGTTTTTTTTAAATCATAAGCTTAATATAGAAATAAGTGAAAAGTTAATTCTGTGCCATATCTGGACAACTTTCTGAACTGGCAAAACAAATAACAAATATACAGTTTTTGTTTTACAAAGTGACTTTATCAACAAATGAAAATATTACATCTTTCTGCTCTCCTGTGGGATCACAGCAGTGCATTCCAAGTAAAAGTAAGAAAGCTAAAAAATGTATCACACTATGGAACGACAACAAGATTTACAGCAGAAGCGCTGATTAAAACAAGGAATGCCCCAAGCGGTGGAAGAAGCACATTGCCAGAGGATGCAGAAGGATGGGTTTTGGGACCTGGAGCAGGAACTGGACCTGGACCCGGAGCTGTCAAAGAGAATACATGGTCACTGACACATCATTTTTGGTATCAAGTGTCATCCCTCTATACTGTATGTCCTAAACACGTAAGCAGCAATACTGAAAATGAGCTAGACATTTACTGAACTACAACACTTTCAAATAAGAACAACTTTCAAGTAAAGAACTCAGTAGAGATTTCAGGCTATACTTCCATACACACATCAGCAGGATGTGCTGCTCTAGGCTTTATCTAGGACTGCATAGGCTTTTCACTCTACATAGCCAAGACAATTATTATTTCTTGTTCAAGTTCTCGAGTTTCTTTTTTTTTTTCTTGGTACTGGGAATTGAACTCAGGGCCTTGCGCTTGCCAGGCAGGCACTTGTGCCACTGAGCTATATCCCCAGCCCCAAGTTCTCGAGTTTCTAGCAATTTTTCTATTTTGATTTCTGTATATACACGTAAGGGCTGGGTGTGGGGGCACATGCCTGTAGTCCCAGCACTGGGAAGGCTGAGGCAGGATTGCTATGAGTTCAAGGCTAGCCTGGGCTACATAAGTGAGTTCAAGGCTAGCCTGTACTACACAGTGAGATCCTGTCTTTAAAAAAAAGAAGTCATTGTATCTACATTCAAGGTAAAATTTAACTGTCTTCTATTTCAAACAAGGCGGTATAGTTCATACACATATTCAAACATCTACCAGTGTACAATTGGAGATAGCTGAATTTTAAAATACAAGCCCTGAGAATGTGACCCCAAAAATGCTTTTATTTCTCTCTACACATATGTGGCTCTAGTAAAAACTGCATCCCTTTTATCTGAGCAAGTGCAAGGAATAATAGTGTCCACCTGCAGAATTATGGACATTTTTGTTTAAACAGACTATACAACAGGAGGAAACAGACTGAAAGTTTGTCCAAATGGGATAACCAGTCACGTTTTCTAAATGAAGCTATCATTTTAATAGTTTTCTAAAAGCCTTCAAATTCCTTGGCATAGTTACAAACATGCAGTTATATGCATAGAAATGCAAAGAAAGGCAGATGCATTCATGCATTATTATGTTACTGTAGACCACTGGTTCTCAAGGCAACAGTGTTCCCGTGAGAGAGAAATCTGGACGACTGTCAAAGGACGGTTTCACAGTTGTCCTAACAACAGGATAGACATAAAACACACTGATACTCTGAAATGCTCAGGATACTCTCATACAATGAAAAATTGACCTACATCCTGCATAACTTTCAGATGCACTGCTAAACATGTTTAAACCCTGCCAGGGACACAGCTCAGTGGCACAGTGCCTGCCTGGCAAGTACAAAGTCCCGAGTTTCAATCCCCAGTACACCCCTCAAAGAAAGTTTAAAATCCATCAAACTCAGAATCTAAATCAGTTTTACATATAAGCAGAATATTTTCAGATAATTTTAAAAACATTAAATACTAGTTCTTTATCTAATGTTCACTGTTTCCTCACTTTCATTTTCTTATATTTGTTGTATAGAACAGCTTCCAATCTTTTCTTAAACACAGATTTTTCTGTGTAAGTAAATCTAAGCATCTGTCTACTTCATTAAACCTTAATTAAACCTTCATGTTGTAATTTTGCAACAAATTATGTTATCAAATATTTGTTAATAGAAAAAGGAAAATCAGGTTGAAAAGACTGAGAACTGTTCTAAACAGTGCAACCTTTAGCCACATTGGAAATGATTATTTAAGAAATAAAGTTTTTTCTTAAAAAAGAAAGTCAAGGTACACACACATACACACACACACACACACACACACACACACACACGCAAACTTGGTTATGATGCTATACTCTTATTATGATGCCTTAGACTCTTCATCCTTTTATGGAGGAAAAGTAAATTTCTCATTTTTCCTACATTGCACAAACAGATATTTATCAAATGAAGAAATGAAACATTTCTTACTAGGATTATTCACGTTTCCTTGATGTCTGTCTTCTAAAATATAAATAGATTTTGAGTTAATTGCATTATACATCTATCTAGAAGAGAAAGATGTAATTAAAGGTTAAAGAAACTTGATTATCTCTGAGAGTGGGCCTGAAGGACGAATAATAGGTTTAGAGGTCTGTGCACTATCTTTTGAGATTAAGTGAGATGCTGGGTACTGTGCTGACTGCCTTTTTCAAAGCCTGCACTACATATAGCTTTCCATGGAGCGAGCACAATACAGTACAACAGTCTCAGCAGAAGCTAGTGGCTTATTGGAGGAAGGGAAATCATAGTGAGGAGCACAGAATGACTGGTCCCAGTATTAGCATGCTGTATAGTTTTCACTCATACTTTGACGAGCCATTCCTGAGTCCGAGGATTCCTTCCCAGTTCCAGTTCACTCTGGGAAGCCTAGCTACTCCTTCATCCTGGAATAGATACGGACAGTTGCATTGCAGCTGTTTCAGTTTCAGGTCAGGTACCTTTTTCTCCGTTTGAGAGTCTTAATAGTGGCCCATCATTCACACTGAAAGTAGTTCTCAGAATTTTCTTCCTCTGGCATGCAGACTAGAATCTCAAAAACTATATAGCACAGATGTCATCCCCAAATTCCTTACAACTGAGCTAACTAAATGGTTATGGTAAAGGACTTAGAACCCAGTGGTGCCTCCATTCCAAAGAATTCATTACCAGAGTTTTCATCCGGATGTAACACTTTTTTTTCTAAATGAAAAAAAAAATATTTTCAGATAACAATAATGTCAGTTACCACTTACTACTACTTTACTACTACTCAGGTATTTTATTACATCAGGTCCTTAATTAGCCCTAAAAGACAGAAGTGTCCTTTTTATACACATAAAACTAGAGGTACAGAAAAGTAAAGTAACATGCAAAGTTATATAGAAGAAGTGTAGAGACTTCCTGAAGCCAGGTCTCTCTCCGTATCTCAAGTTCATTCCCCAAACTCTGCTCCATGGCTGCGTTTCGGAAAACCGCAGTGTGACTACTAAAACTTCCATCGGAGAACTGCAAACCGAGGTCTCGAGAGAAGAGGTGCAGGCAGACAAGGTGTGTCATCGGTATCACTAGCTCACTTGAAAGCTGTAGCCAAATAAATCCGTCACTGGTAGACTGAGTCCATATGAAAGAGATGCGGGACCCTGTGAGTTTGTGCCTATGCTTTGTGTAACTGAAGTGCTGTTTCTTCACACAACGTGCAGTTTCCATAGACAGTCGCACCGGACAAGGCACAGCACTATGTGCACAGTTACAAGGTAGCGGGTCCTAAAAATTAATTTCTTTAATGTGATCATTATTCCCCTAATAAAAAACTTTAAAAAACTATTTTCAAAGCACTACATGAGCTCAGAAGAAACGATTTTAAGCACTGTATAAGAGCCTGCATGCTGAGATATTCTCATGAGGTAAATATGACAAATGTTATTCCCATGAGGTAATATGACAAGCATTGTCCACATTTGAAAGAAAAAACTCTGAGGCATAGAGGTGTCATGACCATTTATAGCTCTCTGGTAAAACATCATGTCCTCTTTCCTTACTTCTACTTGTCTTAGGAATAAAAATTAGTTTGAGGGGGCTGGGGATTTAGCTCAGCGGCACAGCGCCTGCCTGGCAAGCGCAAGGTCATGAGTTCAATTCCCAGTACTGGAAAAAACCCAAACAACAACAACAACAACAAAAAAAAAAAACAAAAAAATTAGGTTGAGTAGCTTTTCCTCCTCACTGTCTGGTAAGCATAAAATTCTGACGAACCTGACTGGAATCACTGTTCAGTTTCTATGATCATAGAAGCTCAATGTCTCTCAATGGCCTTCCCTCAGCTCTCAGTTTAAAAGCATCAATGTAACGGTTATATATATTGGGTGAAATATGCTGTGGTAAACACTGGAAAAATACTTGAAGAACCACTACTATCAAGGAACAAACGCTTGGTCGAAGTTAAAAGATCAAGACCCATCACTCATTTGTGTGATCTTGTGAAAGCACTTAGCTATTCTACCTGCTTTGTGGTGATAGTTTATGTCTACACCTCCCCAAATGCCATATTTTCTTCCGGCTTGCCAACCATTGCTTACCAGGTAGTGGAAAAGGTTCTGGAATTTTCATTTCTAAATGAGAAAGAGGTTTTCAATGGCTTGCAGTTTGCTCCAGTGAATACAATTCTCAAACTCTTGTCTGATGAACTTGAAATACAAGCTCCCAAGTTTCCACTGAGCTGTAGTTTGCAGCTTTTGATTGAAAATCTTTGGCTCCATAAGCCCGTCCTTGTGTAAATCTACGCCAAGAGGAATCTTAGAGGAGTCTTCTGCCATAGCACCTCACCAGCATGTGTTTATGCCGGGTCTGTATTTTGTTACCTAGAGATCCCAGAGCAAAGCTAACAACCAGCTTATTCGAGAAGTGGAAGTTTCTACTGAGTAATGTTAGCTGTAAACCAGGAAGGTGCATTTAACTTCCAGCAGGGCCAACTCCAGTGTCCCTCAGCCATGTCCCCGCAGTGCTAACTTTCTTGCCCCAGAACAGTGCTCCAGGAGCACTGTTGAATACTGGGTAGGAAAGGCACTATCTCTATACTCTCTCCTTCCTGTTATGGCTCATACCTAGATGTCCCCCAAAGCCTCATGTGCTCATAGGTGGGTTTCTGGTAGGTGGCTGAATCCTGGGTGTGTGACACAGGATTATGGGTATGATAACTGATCAGTCCACTGAATGATTTAGCATTGCTGTGGGTAATGGGAATACTGAAGAGGGAACTCCCACCATGGGTGTAGGTGGCAGCAACCAACAAGCTTTTAGCCTGTGTGGGATAAAAGGAAAAGGAGGCTCACTGTTTTGCTACCTTCTGCCTGCTGCACCATGGACTGTTTCTTCTCTGCTGTGCTCCTCTGCTGTGCTGTCTGCCTTGGAGCCAGCTGACTATGGACTGAAACCTCTGCAAACTGTGAGCTGAAATAAACCTTTCCTCCTTTAACTTGTGGGTGTTGGGCATTTTGTCCCAGCAACAAGGAAGTAACTAAGACCCATACCAGAATCTTAGTAGATGACTAGCACACATTATAAGGAAAATATTCTCTTTAATCCCGGGAGAATCATTCTCATCTAATATTTGGGCTCAGAGAACAAACAGACAGCTATCTTACCAGGTACTTCAGGGGGTTCATGGATGTTCACACCTAAACATAAAAATACATACTGGTTAGTGCTAATCAGTTAATGCTCCCCTTTGTCTACATAATTCCTCTACTTCCAGTGCCCTCAAAGGAAAACATGGCAACAAAACATCTCGCAGTGGCTCTTCATTCTCAGACAAGATGGAGTTCAAATTGTGAGCCAGACTCCAACAACTTCCATGATTCAACCCTTATTTCTCCAATCTTATCTTCACAAGACAGGCCTAAGACACCCATTTCTAAATGAAACTGTGCCAGGTGGAAGCCTGGGCTTGCTTTAGCTCCACTGACATTAAAGTTGTTAGTTCTATGACTTTGGCCAGGCTTCTTAATCATTGTGAACTTGAAGTCCTCATTTATATAATGAATGCAGAGTAATACAAATAACTACATAAAAATGGTTGGTACATTCCATGGAACATAAAAAAAATTCAATAAATGAAGTTCCCCACACCCCATTCTAGCTTAATTCCCCAAACTCTCTATGCTTAGTACTGTTCTTAGTCCTAATGAGGCAGAAGGGAAGAAATTTTTTAAAACAGGCAGAAAGGAAACAAAGAAATTGGGATTTTAAAACTGTACTTTAAAGAAAAACAGCTGCTTTAGGACCCAAAAGTTACTTAATCCTTTTTCTCTTTTTGAGTGAAACTCACTGAAAAAATAAAAAATCCTAAAGATCTTGAAGCAATAGAAGGCCTGTAAATCAGGCCTATAAATCAGGCTCTGGATTTTTTTCACCTGTAAATCACACCTCCTACACCTGCAAGGAAGCACCGTACTGTTGGGCAGTATGTCTCAACTTCAAATACATGTAAACAGCTTGCATTTTGACATAGCCTGCCAGATGAGTTAGCCGACAGACAATAGGAGTACACGTTCTGGATCACCCCCCATCTCTCTGCCCCCCCACACTCTGATTTCTTTAATTTTTGCCTAACAAAACCCCTCTCATGCCTCTTACTGACTAGTTCAAAAATTCTTTTTCTGTGATGGGAGTCACTGAACCTCCAAATAGTCTATGTTTGGGGTAGGCTGTGCTCCTTATCTCAGCTGCAGAAACCTCCTCAAGATGCAGTCCAGTGACGCTGGCCTCCCATCTCTTCCTAACCCTGTAGCTGTCTCAGAGAGTAAGAAAAGGACGACTCATCTACCAAGTAAGACAGTGAGCTCTGCCTTTTTATTCCCAAGGGTAAAAAATAAGAACTATTTAGTAAAAACAATCATTCCACTTGAAATTCCACTTAATTTAACTTTGTACCAACCTTTTTATAAGGGAACATTCAGGACGATTTGAGAAATGGCAGGGGACAAGGGAAAAGTTTATGATAATGTCTTACCAGGGTCTTCAAGCTTCTGGTTCTCCTCACCTAAGTTAGAAAAAAAGGAGGGCACAGGCAATCTATTTTAACAAGGGATCAAAAGAACTGAGACTTAACTATAGCTACAGCAAAATTATTTTCAGGGTAGCACAGTCATTAAAAGCATTTGATATGGCCAGTAACTACTGTTATTTTTTGAGTGTTAGCAGAGTTTAAATGCACCTAAAGTAAAGAGCTGAACCTCCACCTTCTGTTTTTATTGAGAAAACTGTCATATCTAGGTATCTCTTACAGTCTCAACCAGGAGAAAAATGTGTATTTTGCAATACAGGAAATTACATACTTAAGGAAAGGCTGACTTTTTTCTCCCTTTAATAAAGAAAAATGTCCTGCAGCCACATGGGCCAAATATGTAATAAGAAACTTAACCACTTACCAGTCCAATTATTTAAATACAGGATGATCAAAAATAGCATTTTTTGTTAATTTTTATAATATAGGTAATTTTTTGCAAACATGAGTTAGTAAAATAAAATAACCTGAAATTATTGTTAGATTGCACTAGAAACAAACATCAAAGGTGAACACAACATTCTAGACAAAAAGTTATGCAAAAATAAATCATATAAAACAAACAAGCCAGGCACGGTGGTGCATCCCTGTAAACCCCACATTCGGGAGGCAGAGGCAGGAGAATTGCCCTGAGTGTGAGGCCACCTACATAGTGGGTTACACAGTGAGCTGAACTACATAGCAAGACCCCATGTAAAGTAAAGTAAAGTAAATAGATGTTCATGCAAACAAGACTCAACTGGTTGAACTGACACCTGCCCAAGTGATAGCTGGGATAGTCAATATGCAAACAAACGTGCTGCCCAAGTGACACTTGGCGTAAACTGTTAAGTGGTTAATGCAAAGAAATGAGTTGACTATATTTCTACAAGTGGAAACTAAAAAAATCTAATCAAGTAGATATTTTAGTCAGTGTTAGGGTTTGTGTCTGGATGTTCCCCGGAAGCCTCATGCAGTCATGGGGCGGGCTGTTACAGCTTATGATTGATTCACGGGTGTGAGTGCTACACTTGCCCTGGGGCGGATAGTTTGATATTTAAGGGAGGGAAAGAGGTTGCTTGCCGCAGCTTCTCCTCCCTTTTGCTCTTGCTGCTTTTTGCTGTCTTCTGCTGCCATGAACTGTTTGTTCTCTGTCATGTGCCACCCTGCCTTGGAGCCAGCCAAGTATGGACTGAAACCTCCACAAACGGTGAGCTAAATAAACCTTTCCTTCCTTAATTTTTGGTATCAGGTATTTTGTTTCAGCAATGAGAGAAAAGTAACCAAGACAGTCATGATAACTGTGAAGGAAAAAAAGTTAAATGCAGAGCTTAAAATGAAATCAGAGCCAGGTATGGTGGTGCATATCTACAATTCCAGTAATATAGATATGGCACACAAATGGGGCTATGGGACCATTTGCCTGTACTCATTTGAACCTGGGCAACACTCCAGGGCCAACCCCCAACCTCTGTCCTATGGTGTATTTCTTGGAGGCAGAGATAAGAAAGACAAAGACCCCTGGGCCTGCCTTAGAAAATTCGGGAGTCCCAAAGCAAGAAGCATGTGTGCCAATTTTCCAGCATGAAGTATAGTTAAGCTTTCTTCACTTGGAGCTCACTGAAGGCTCACGCATATGGACTGTATCTCATATATCTAATTATAAGAGAATTATGGGAAAGGATGTTCACATTAGATACAGTTGACATGACTCAGCACCCTGTCAATCACACTTTCAAAAACCAAATAGGAGGTGTCCTAGGCCCAGTGCAACAGTCTAAATGCCTAAAGCCAACGCCTTCAGCACTCACGCCACTTTCCTTTACACTGGTATACTGTTGCCTAAATTAAATTTTGTTGTTGGGCGTGGCAGCACACATCTATAATCCCAGTACTACAGAGGCTGAGGCAGAAGGATCACCCCTACCCCATCCATAAAAGACCCAGTTCAATAAACTTGATTTGGACTCTTCTTTTGAGATACTTCAGGAGGTCCCACCCAGAACATTAAATTGAGGCTGGCTGTGTTCCTTGCTGGGTCATCACCATCTCCCATTCCTCAGTGGGTTGTCCAACTAGGCCTTACCTTTAGTTCAGCCCAGACACCTACCTGGATGTGGGTTGCTCTATTTGTCCTTCATTCTGGTTTTTGTCTTCATCTGGGTGACATTCCTTTTGATGCTGATCACCTTTTCTTTCTGTTGGATACTGTCTGCCCTAACCCACCAAGGAAAGAACTTGCCTCTGTTCCTCCTAAAGATTTTCTCAACCCTGCAAGGCACCTCAATAACCTGTTTCACCTATTTCTGTAACATGGTGGGGCCACATACAAGTTACTGTAAATAACAGATTTTTTGACCGAAACACAAAATTTTTAGATCTTTTCTGACCTTGACCACTTTCTCCAGAGTTCAGACAAATGAGAAGAGGTCCCCATGAGTAGACCTTTTTCATCCTCCACTCTCATCCCTCTCCCTATTGACTTAAACCTTTCTCTCTATGCCCTCTGCTCCCTCCCTTACTGCTGTGACCCAGTCTTCCTCCCAGTAGACCACCCCTGCTGGGTCCATAATCTTTTTCATCTCTGGGTTCCCAACTTCAGTCTCACAGCCACATCCCTTTATGTTGCCTCCCCCAAAACCCCATATCCTCAGGCCCTCCCCAGCTCAGGATATCATTCACAGCTGCCTTCAAACCCTCCATCACCATGATCTCAACCACTTTCCCAGTACAGTATATAAACTTCATCCCACAGGCAGCCAATACTATACTTGGTTCATAGATAAAAGCTCATTCCAAATCCCCAGTGGGTACCAGGCAACATGTGCTCTTACACCCAACCACTCCCCTGAATAAACCACCTCACAACAGATAAAACTCACAGCTTGGGGCTAGGGATTTAGCTCAGTGGCACAGCGCCTGCCTGGCAAGCGCAAGGTCGTGAGTTCAATTCCTGGTACTGGAAACAAACAAACAAAACAAAACAAAACAAAAAAACCAACTCATAGCTCTAACCCAAATACTCAACCTGGCCTCCTCTTAGCTTCTCACTCCACATAACTCCCCATCACTAACAGAAGTTACACACAAACTCTCATAGAGACAACCCCCTCATCACTAAAGGTGACTGTCCTCGACTGCCTGTTCCATGGAGCCTTACAGCCCCAAGCCAGCCAGCTTACAAACAGCCAAGCACATTGCTCTCATCCAAAACCCCAAAAGACCTCAATCACCTCATTTTACTTCTTCCCTTGTTACCACACCTCAAAAACGTTCCATTAAATTCCAACCCTACCCAAACTTGTTACCCCTGACTCACCTCCATACCCTTTCAATTAATATGTGGGTGCCCCTTTCTTCTGGGCCCCATTACCCCCACTCATTCCCTAGAAGATTCTGCCCAGTCACTTCAGGCCATTACTCTGTGCTTCCCAGCCTTTATGCTCACTATCCTCCCTCCCTTCACCTCAAGTCAACAGGTCCAGCTCAAGACCCTTAAAATGACCAGTTTAATCAACATGGGAGAGAACCTACATGGTCCTCCGTATCACCCCTGGTCTCACTGCCTTTTACCCGGCCCTGCTTACTATTACCGTAAAACCTTTTTAGGTTTTAAGGCTGTTCTGTGCCTCCTGCCTGGAGGTTTCTCCCAGAAAGCTACCTAGTGTCTTCACCACTGTCTCCCTCCCGGAACTCACTCACCTTACTTTTTCTCTCTTAGAGAATATCCTCTCCCGCAACCTCAACTCTGTTCCCAGAAGTAATTACTGACCTCTGGCTTCAGGACACCTTGAATTCACTCCATCCCAGATCAGCTTCTTTACCTTTTGCTTCTACTTTCTATTAATCCAGCCAGCATATTACCCATGACAAGCAATGATTTTCTTGGGCTGTTAAGTTAATCCCTCTCAATTGCTGGCACCAGGCCAGCCAGTCTAAGCATCTCTACTCACCGTTTCTCAGCTCTCTCAAACAAATCTTGAACTCTCCAACTTTCAAGATCAAATTAACTCCCTAATAATAGTAACTGGGAAGAGGGGCAGGGGACCTTGCCAGATTCAGCTGCACACCATGGCTGCTCATGCTGATAGCCTCAGTTCCCTACCAAGAACAAATGAAATGCACTGCTCTGCTGCACATGACTGCCTTCTGCTTGCTACAGCGCCCCCCCCAGCTGCCCTACTGTCCATCTTGCCTGACTGATCTCCCTGCTCCCCTTCACCATTTCTGTACCCTTTTTAAGCAGGTCCCTACAGACCTCATTAACTTGCAAGATCAAATCAACTCACTGGCTGCTGTTGTGCTTCAAAACTGCTGCTGCCTAGACTCCCTCAATCTCAATCCCCCCTTGCTTCACCCCACCTAAGCTGGTCCTACTAACCCTATCCATAAAAGACCCTACTCAATGAACTTGACTCAGAGACTCCATTGGAGTTACTTCAGGAGGTCCTGCTCAGAGCCTTAAAACCAGGCTGGCTGTGTTCTTTACTGGGTCACCACCATTTACCTAACTTAATGTACCCCAGATCTAGACACCCATCTGGAAGATAGATTGTGGCAAGAGGGGTGATCCAAAGGTCCAAATGAAGGTGCCCACACAAGGCCAGGCATCTGGCATCTGAATCCCAAGGAGTTCAGCTTTACCAGATGGCACCTGGGTCTGCACAGGTTGGGAGGTTGGGAACTGACCCAGTGGATGCCCCGTAAGGTTCCCATGACCTAATTTTTTTTTTTGAAGAAAGACTCTTGTTGTGTATTTAAAACTCCCTATGTAGCCCAGGCTGGTCTTGAACCACTGGCTATCCTTCTACCCTTAGTCTCCAGAGTGCTGGGACTACAGGCATGTACCATCATGCCTGGCTCAATAACCTAATTCTTACTCCTGCCCACACACCCATCATGGGATATGTCTCGTCTGTTCCACTTGACTCTTTGCTTAAATGCCTTCTCAGACCCTGGGATAAATACCCACTCCCATGGCTACCCCTTATTAACCT